TCCCGTGACGGTCCTTGCCCCCACGTGGGTGTTGAGGAGTAAACGACAACGAGAGGGCTACGGGCCAATCGCGGCCCGGCAAGGTGTTAATCTGGACGCGGATTGGCTCGCTGTTTGTCACAGAATCCCCTCACTCATCACGTTTAGCCCATTGGCATTAACTCTTTCCTACCACACAGGAAGGAGCCGCTCTGCCCATAAAGCACAAACCCGCACTGTAATAGCCAAATGTGAATTAATGAATGATTCAGAGGCGGTTTGTTTTTAGAAACGCGATACATCAGTTAATCCGGACTGTTTCAAAGCCTCGTTTCAGACACATTTTTAAAAGAAAAGCGACAGTAATATAGCAGAATACGCTACGCCGGAGCGCACGAGGCGGCCAGAGCAGCGCTGCAGCCGCGTGAAGGCGCGCGTGCTGCCCCGATTCTAATCAAATCAGCATGCAAGAGAACCGATGAGATTAAAAGCACATGAGAAGTGCATGCTTAGCAGCGAGGTATAACCCACATTCACACGTCCAGGCACCAGAATTACGGGTCAGAGCCGTGGCTCCTGCTGCCACGTGCACGCAGGACCGGGCTCAGGTATGGGTGTTGGGAAATAATTGAAACAAGGAAACAATTCCCCGCACCCCGCCTCCATCGTTTTAATTGCACTGATGTTTTATAGTTGATAACGCTTCATGTGTTGTTGACGCCTTTCGGTTTCTACAAAGACCCCATTTGCCCCCCCTCTTCCCTCCCCTAAAAGCAAGAAACATTAAAAGGAGCCATTTTAAATAGCACTACAGTCCTTCCCTCCTACGCTATGCAGTCACGCAGGCACCAACACTGACAAACCGAGCATCAATCTTCTTTTTCGCTTTTTTTTTTTCAAAGCGACCTCCAAAAAATATATAGGCAAGGCAACGTACTCCTGGAGGAAGCAAAGCAGAAGGCTGACATCGCCCCTCAGTGGTGGCTTTGGGCATTGGAGCTCTCAGAATCCGGCAGGTATGATGATGAAACGATCTGAAGAAGTTATCCAGAGCTGCATAGGTTCGAAGTGACTCTCCGGGTTCATGCAGAAGGCTCTGCTTTAAGCACTGCAGGGTCAGCGTGGACTGAATGAACAAAGATGACATGTCAAGTAGCTTTTGACGTCATTTCTTCTTTTAAAAGGATGCCCCCTTTAGGATGCAATAGATTTTTTTTCTCAAAAACGTCGTTACAGCTGGTGATTTCAGATCATCTAGAAAACGCATTAAAGAGGAAAGAAGGGCGCAGATGTGCTCAGAAAGAAGGACGTGATGGTAAGATGTGAGGAGAGCATAGTGAAAGGTCAGATATTATAGGCAATAGGGAAGGGTTAGGGTTAGGGTTAAGGGGTCAAGGGCTCAAGTGGACATGGATTACAAGATTCATCCATGCAAACTTTCTGTAACTTCAAGTGGAATCCAAACAAAGACCTGCCATTTATATATTTAGCCACTCGTGTCAGTTATGCTCCATCTAAACTTTATTTTTACTGACAAAGACGTTTCTTAAAACAGTTTTTGGATGATATGAATAAAAAGGCTGTAGTTTAGTAATGCTGAGTTAAGTAGAACCTTCTTATTTTGTGCACGTTCCCACTGTTAAAGACAATATCCTTACACAAATAGATTTCCCCTCAAACCAATTCCATGTGTGCCTTGGAAGTGTACAGCAACCAGACTAAGACGGGAGCAAAGCAAAAACCATTTTTTAAAAGCCCCCAAAACGGATTGTTCCAGAATGCTTTTGGATGAGGCAACAACAAGGTGAACTGGTGGATTCTGAGATTGATCTGCCAGATCTGTCTTTCATTCAGTTCACAACCTCTGGAAATGAACTGAACACCGGACCAAAAGGAGAGAGAGAGGGGGGGGGGGGGGGGGGACTTACGGGGGGAGGAAAAGGAGGGATGTGAGGATGGCTGGAGGAGGAGGAGACTGGGGAAGAGTGTGGACTGGGTGGGGATGTGTGTGTCTGTGTGGGAGGGGGTGTCTGTGAGAGGCACTGTGGGGTATGAGGCAGCACCCCGCAGTCCCGAGTAATGGCAGAATAGAACTTAATAGGGTAGAAAAAAAGGCTGGAGGCTGTTAACTCAGAAACGGTCATTTTAAATTCCCCATTCTCCATCACTCCTTTCCATCTCCTTCATCTTTCCGTGCACCTTGTATGTCTTTAACTCTCCCCATCCATGTCTGCCTGTGTAATTTGCAGATTCTCTCTCCATTCCCTTGCACCCTGAACCTCTTTCCCACCACCACTTTACTCCCCTTCACCTCTTTTCTTTATCTTGTCCTCTACTACCTCGTTCCTTCCTTCCAATTTTTGTATCCGTGCCTCTTTCCTTCCTTTCTCACCCCCCCCCCCCTCTCTGTGTCTCCTTGGAGGAGGTGTAATGATAGCTATTTGAGTGCCATCAGAGGATCGCTGTAATGGCTTCTAAAGCACCATCCCACGGTTGCCACGGTGAACCTGGCACAGCCGCTGTCCCAGAAGAAGGGGTGAAAAAAAAAGGAGGAGAAAGAATAACATCTGGCTGGCTGCGGACGGGCGTCCGTGTGCCGACGGTGGCAGCAGCGGGAGACGATGACGCAGCCCCCAGGGGCCACGGAAAGTGAGCTAATGACGCGTGGGATAGGATACATACGAGGGGGAAGTACAGTAATAGCGATAATAGAGATAGTAATGAAAATAATAGTACTGATAACAATAACAGTATATGACCTTTTTGATTTGTTGGCGCTGGCCGTCCCTCCCCACCGTCTCCTTTTCCCACAAGTCTTTATGCGTATCTGTAAGTGAAGCTCTTATGTCAAGTGAGTCCATGATTACAATTAAAAGCGAAGATCCAATTTCTATCTCAACCCCCTTATTTTGAAATAGGGGCAGCTTAGTTTTCAGTTACTTGCAAGCACACTCACAGTGCAGGTCTTCTTACTTAGATCAATAAAATTGACCAGAGAGCTATATTATTCTGTTTATGACAAAGCAAGTTAATTTTACATTGCTTTCCCAGGTATAGTTGTCAAAACAGATGTGGAACTGTGAATTTAGATGCGTCAGCCTTGTGCGGGACCTGCTGTGTTCAGAACAGGGATGCCCTCTGTAGGTTAAGAAACAAAATATGAGGACATGAAGAGGGCAGAGCTCAGTATTTAAAGACTGGTTCTCATCTCATAGCCGTCCTTCCTGTTTGCACTTAAGAATTTAGATGTGGTCAATTGCAACTAACACAGCTTGTACCAATTTTTCAAAATGAAGCATTTAATGCAATTTAAGACTTAAGAAACTTCCAAATGGAAGTTTCTGATCATATCATAGTGTGGGAATACAAAGGAAACAGGAAGAAAAGTAGATGAACAGATGAGAAAGAAGTGAGGGAAACATATGAAGCACTCAGAAATGCAGTTAGAATTCAAATTAAGGCAGTTTCCAAGAACTAAAGAATAGAATAGAATATTATAGAAATAGAATATATAAGACCAATGGAAAGGAAGGACAAATAAATCATTCACTATTTTACTTGAAGCCAGTAGAAAAAAATAGAAATAAAAACAATACCAATCCTTATTCTCATCCTTGGTCTTATACTCTCCATTTCTCAGAGGTAGAGAGATCCTTTTCCTTCCTGTCTCAGTGTTTTGACAACTATTCCTTAAACTTGGGCCTTTATGAAAGGAGGACTGCTACTACTTAAAAGGAAATTGACACCTTCACTGCCTGCAAAAAAATGGAAAAAGGATAAAAAGGTTCACAAGGAATAACTGAGATTGGGCCTTTTCATTACACTCAGCTTTCACCCACTCCTTTCCCACCCATGCAACATAACCTGCTTTGCAACTCAAATGAGCACAAATTGATGCCTGTCAACCATTTGGTGTGAATTCATTTCGTGAAGTGGTGTATTGTAAAGCATCAATCTTTTTTTCTTCTCACCAAATTGCCGTGGTGCTCAAACCCCATCACGCAGTTAGTCAAACCAAAAGTGAGCACACGGTGAAAGGAGTGGAAAAACTGCTCCTTCACCCATGTTGTTAAGTGTCCCGTCCATTCCTTCAGCCTCTCCGGGAAATATCTTAAGCCTAAGCAGTGACTTCCTAAGGGTTACCAGACGGCACAGCTGCCTTAACAAGACGTGTATTGATATGGTCAGCCAGCACATAAGGGGCACCAGCACCAAAGAGGAACCGTAGGTGTATCTCATAGCTGGACGGATAAGAAAAGGCTGCTTATTTGATCATACACATGCTCGGTTGTGTGGAGAAGGCACATGGCAACACGAGACACATGGGAGAAAAAACCGCTGACCTTCTGATTAGTGCCAGACTTGCACTACCTCCTGGGCCACGGCTCACACAGTCTGTACATTTTCTACTTCTGCTTTCCATCTCATTCTTGTGTTCACAGTTTTCAGAGCTCTTTCTTCGGAGCGCTGTAGAAACATCTGCACCAGCTGTGTAGCGTGCATTTTTCTAGATGTCTTGAACAAAGCACGACAGTTCGAATCCTGGTCAGGAGGAATATATCTTTAAGTGATTGAAAGTCTCCTCTCACCTCTTTGTGTGTGTGTGACGATGATATGTATGTTTCTGTGTGGGTCAGTGAGTGTATGTGTATGTTTACAGCCATTGACAAGCTGACGGGTGTGTGTGTGTGTGTGTGTTTGAGGAATGGGGAAGGGTAGTTTCAGAAGATTAGGCTGGTTTGGATGATTGGGTTGAGGATTAGATGGATTCAGAGGCAGACACGTCTGTTTACTCCTCAAAGAAGGCTTATAATAGGTTGATTGGCAAGGTTGATTACACTCGCACACACACTTGCACATATTCATTCGAAATCCCATATGCTGATGAGTTTGTTTTCTTTGTTACACCCGCCATCTCCTTTCGCTAAATTCAGACGTAAAGTCCGCCTCCCTGCGCTGCTCACACACAGCTTCCATTAGGACGCAGAGGGCTTGCAATCAGAGAAGGTGTGTAACTGAAGCCCGGAGTGGGCAGGTAAGGGGAGCCGCACTCAGGCAGGTACGCCAGCGGCACGGGGAGCGCTCTGGTTACCCGGCTGCTGTTTGTGGAAACCTTGTTTCTATTACCTCTATGTAAGTGTGGCAGAAAAAACAGTGAAGTGCATATTTCAGAATCGGGAGCAGAGCGAGAGAAAGGCGGGGGATTACCTAAATGGCAGGTTAAAGAAAAGGCAGAGGGGAGAAGAGGGAGAGTATGGGAGGAAAAAGCGACAGAGAGAGGCTTAAGATAACAAAGGCGAGCACCTTTTGTTGCAGGGGTTCAGCCGTGGTCGACGGCTTGTGTTTAAAGGAAAGAGTAAAGGAGTTCTCCGGTGGACTACCTTAAACATTTCCAGGACCGGCGAGAATTTTCTCCTCCACTGATCAAACTTGCATCTGACAAACGGGGAGCCCAGACTTCGAGGAAGGTGAAGAAGGGGGTCAAGGTATTTGATGTGATTGATCCAAACAGGCAAAGGAGCAGGCAAAGGAGGGGAAAACACAAAAACCCAAGAGGAGCACAGTCTGGGGGAAACAAGTGATTGAGCCTTCAGGGTGAATAACAAGTCATTCACAGGGGTGAAGCTGTCCAACAGAAGAGAAAGAGGGAGAGGGCAGGCTGCAGAAAGCGGGGCTGAGCAGTGCGGGGCAAAATTAGTCTACAGAGAAACAAGGGCTGACACAGGACTGAACAGAGATCAAGGCTGACTCAAGTCTTTGCTGCCTCTAACCTGATTAGGGAGAACAGTAGTAGCATTGGAGGCGAGCTGGGAGACACGATCAACTGAGACTAAGAACCAGCCAGAGTGGAAGAAAAGGAGAAAGAATTACAAGAGGACGCCCGGTGAAAGAAACCTCTTAAATCTGGGAGCTGGAATTATAGCCACAGGAACTGCATAGGGGAAGCCACAAAACCGCAGTAAGTAAATTAGGAGCCTGTGGCTGGAAAAATGTATAATGAAGCCATGGGCGGGGGAAGGAATTTGTGGTTGTGGGAGTGCTTTAAATACTGTAACTAAGTGCATTGATTTCCTGATTTTACAACTTTTGCATTCAATCAATTGCTATGACATCAGCTCTTTCCCAAGTCGCCCCATAACTTCGGCTTCCTACATCCTCCCTATATCTTTGCCCCTCGTCCTTTTCTCACTCGCTGTTTTTTTCTCTCATCACTCCTCCAAACCCTCAGGTGAAGATGCCCGCTAATGGAAATCGTCCCTTGAAGTTGCAGTTTGGTCTAATCAATCACGAGGGTCGCTACCTCACCGCTGAAACCTTTGGTTTCAAGGTACAGAAAATGCTAACAAACCAGAACGGCTGTAGTTTTGACGCAACAATGTGTGTGAGCCTAAAAACCGGGGCCACGGAATCCTAAAAAGAGCGAGAGTTTCTTGCGCAAAATCTGGTGGAGTGACAACACCCTCTCGCTCCTCAGGTCAATGCGTCGGCTCCCAGCCTCAAGAAGAAGCAGATCTGGACTCTGGAGCAGGACTCCCAGGACGCCCAGGTGGTGTATTTGCGCAGCCACTTGGGACGCTACCTGGCCTCGGACAAGGACGGCAAGGTGACCTGTGAGGCCAACGGCCACAACTCGGACTGCCGCTTCCTGATCGTGGCCCAGTCGGACGGCCGCTGGGCCCTGCAGTCCGAGCAGCACCTGCGCTTCTTCGGCGGCTCCCGGGACTACCTGTCCTGCTTCGCCCAGGCGATCGCCGACGCCGAGCTGTGGGCCGTGCACCTGGCCCTGCACCCGCAGGCCAACCTGCTGTCCGTGGCCCGCAAGCGCTACGCCCACCTCTCCATGGAGGACGGCGAGATCGCCGTGGATCTGAACATCCCCTGGGGCGTGGCGGCCCTCCTGACCCTGGTCTACCTGGACGGCAGGTACTGCCTGAAGACCAGCGACGGCCGCTACCTTAGCAACGACGGGAAGCTGCTGGCGCACAGCGGGAGGAGCACGGCCTACACGCTGGAGCTCAAGTGCGGGAAGCTGGCCTTCAAAGATTGCGAGGGGAAATATTTGTCTCCCATGGGCCCCACGGGGACGCTGAGGTCCGGCCGGTGCTCCAAGCCGGGCAAAGACGAACTGTTTGACCTGGAGGAGAGCCACCCGCAGGTGGTCCTGATAGCGGCCAACGGCCGTTACGTCTCCATAAGACAAGGTATGAAGGCACAGACGCATCGGCCGAATATTTTACACTCAGATTTTTCTTTCTTTCTTTTTTTTTTATGAAATCATTGCATGCATGGACAAGCTGTTCCTCTGGTAGTTTGCCAGTCTCCCCTAAAACCTCCCGCAGAATTCCAAACAGCTTATTAAATGGACAAAGGTTGACCTTAAGTGCCAATAAGGGTGGTCCCATGAGATTGTGCTGACACAGGCTGACCCCGCTTGCATAGTTAATGAAGCAGAAATTGACAACTGATAAGGGGCGCGTGGTAATTATGGGAATCGTAGTCTGCACATCAGCATGCATCTTGCCACTTTCCAGGGAAACAAAATAGATGAGGGTGAAACAGGATAGCGCCAGCCCCACGTCCAGCAAAACAGAGAACAATCTAATATTCAAGGGCTGAAAGGGATTTAGATGCTTTGGATGTTCAAATTAAACTGAAACGATTTGTATTCTTCAACCAAATTGACAAACTCTTCAATCTGCAGTAGGTTTCAGTGAATGTGCTTTAATTTGTGTGGGCAATATGTATTTTTGTCAAATGAATTGTGCTTTAAAACAGATTTAATTTAGTAACGAAATCAAATAACAAAGGTTCAGAAAATGTGTACTGTATTCATTTCTGTTATCCAACCAAATGTGGATCTTTCTAAAAAATCCCCTTTCATCTTTCTCAAAAGCACCTCTCCACATATCTGGCTAATGGTTTTAATCCTGGCTATTATTGACCCACAGGCTTACTTAGACAGCTGCCTGCATCCAGTATGCCGTACAGCAACGTACCGTTGATGCTGCGTTACGTATTTAACCTCTCAGAGTTGTGGTGGTGGTGGTCGAATGGGGGGGGGGTTATTTGATCAGCGGGCAGTCCTGAGATCACAGTACAAGGATGATGGATTTCTCAGTAATTTCCGCTAACCCTCACCGGGCTCAGCACACACCAACAGCGCTTGTCAGCATACTAGGTCATGACAACCATCCACGGGGTGCAGATTCTTGTCTGCGGGTTCGAGTTTCTTCAACTCTGTAATTGAATCCCTCCCAGCTCACTGTTCCTGGTCAGTAGTTGGGCTGCATTCAGAGAATTTCAAAATTAAGGGCGCGCTCGAAACTGGTTCTAGGTAAAACAACAGACTGCCTGAATCCTAAAGAAAACATCCATTATTTAGAATATTGTAAAAGTTTGCACGTGCGCATTTGTCCCCCGTGCACGGACCAACACTCGCAGCCCGCTTCCTTTTCATCCCGCGTTTCTCTTAATACACTTTCTCTGCACAAACAAAAGCTTTACCCTTCTCTCTCGAAGATCACAAACATCCCGTCCTGCTGCGGTGAGTGGTGAGTTGTGTTGAATAATTGATGAAGTTGGCCCCCGTTCCTGGAGGGCGAGGGGGGAGTCTGCTTTCAGAAACCCAAGCTGCCTCTTACCTGCAGCCAAAACTTCTTCCCCACCAAGTCCAGCTCTGAAACGGCACATCTGACCCACTATCTTCATCCACAGCCGGCACATAAAAAGATTCAGAAAAAGAGTATTTAGCACCATACGTGATAAGGATTTAGCTATAAAGGATAAGGATGAGGGATGACTCTCAAAGGAATATAGGACAGTAAGATCATGTGTTTATGCAGGAGGGGCCTCTGTCCTCATATGTGTCTTTCCCCATAAATGAGTGCATTTGTTTAGGCTCCATTCGATGCAGAGGAGCACTGCAGTATCAGAATCAGCAATAAAAGAGAGTTACTTGTTAAGAGTCAAAGCATGCACATAGAGGCGAAGAGCAAAATGCATCCAAATGCAGTGATTCCCTCCACTGAGAACTGTTAATTATTAAAGGTGGTGTGACAATGTCCGTGCCATAGCAAACCATATAGATATGCGATTATGTATGTGCTGTCAGTCTGCATGGTCCAGTATGGTCGGAATGCAAATATGACGTAGTAGTCCTGAAAAATACATCCCGTCTTTCTGAATCCGCAAGAATGCGTGTGAGGAGAAAAAAATGGATGAAGTTAAAAAGAAGCAGCAGAAAATGCAGTTGTAAAGGATTAAGGATGAGGAGGAACGAGGAGAAAATAAGGGACAGAGGGATAGTGGCTTCGGCTTACCATAAATAATTGATGTCAGACCCATTTATCATTGATGGATCACACAGGCCGGCCCCGCTTGCAGACCTGTTGGTAGGACAATGCCAGGAAGTAGAGGCTGATCTGGGATTTAATCTAAATTAGGCACTATAGTGTAGCTATGTGTGTGTTGTCTGGAATCATGATATAGTATACGTAATGTATGCATGTATTTACCAGTGACAAAGGGTATAATGTTGCCCTCATTTCTCTCTCTCTTTTTTTTTTCCTGACTAACGAATGTGCTGAAGTTGTTCATCAGCAACGCTATTGATATCAACAGATTGCCAGCTTGGATTTCAGCATATCCAATCTCTCCACCCTGTTTTCCATTTCATTCCGTTCCTCCATCCTTCTCCCCTTCCTCCGTCTTTTTTCATCTATCAGATCTCGACTGTGAGGTCCCAGCTGAGCCGTGTCTGCGGATCATTTCTGGGTTGAATTAGTGTGAAATGGACACATGAAATAGGTAGACAAAGCATGACATTGAGAGAGAATGATGGCGAGAGCCCCACCCCCCACCCAGTATATCTGCAGAGTGGAGGAGCTTAAATGTATGCTTCAGATGCACTTAAGATCAATGATAATTTAACCAGCTGTAAGACCTCGTGATACCCAGTTTGCCGGGTGTGAATAAAATGTGATTAAAGTATCCAAGTAGCTCAGTAAGCATGACATCTTTGTTGCGTACCATCCCCGTCTCTACCTCCAATTTATCTCTGCCGTCAGACCTCAAATGGAAACAAAATGGCCCGAAAGATAGTTAGAACAGATGGAATGAACACTGTCATGTCCATGAGCTGAATGCTGAACAACCACTATTAAAATGTTATTCTTTTGAAGTTAAGAAGGGGGGGGAAAAAAACACACAATTGTTTTAATTCAGCCTCTTCAGACTGGGCTTTTCATGTGCACTTGTATTATGCAGACATGATTCATACGCAATTTGTCTCTCAGAAATCTCGGGCCGGAGTTATTATCGCTAAACCATGTATTTTCATGCATGTGATACCATGTAATTAGGCACCTACTTTGTACATTAGGTTTACAAGTCACAAAACACCACTGAACAGCAGGGGGGGAATCTTTTAACAAAGCATCCTGGCAAGATTGAAAAAATACTGAATATGTTTACATGACAAACAGAGTAAAAACTAACCGCAGCCTCTCAGTCCTGTCCTAACAGCCAGATTGTACAGCTTTATATGTTGTTTCTACACAAAGACACTCTAATTTTGTATTTTTGGTTATCTTTCTCTGTTCAAATAAATGAGTGTGGGACCAAGTGTGAACACTTAGAACACTTTAAAACGGTGCCTCTGCTCTGACTCTTATTTTATTAGAGCATTTGTCAAACATCATGTATTTCACTTCAACATTTTCCAAACGGTTCACAGTGTTGGATTGTCATACATACTCCAGTTAATAATTTTTTTCACGACAAATCTTGTGTGCTATGGGAAAGGCCACAATTAACATCCTCACACCAAAGAATTATACAGGACGTTGCGGTTATTTCTCATGTCAAGTCCTAGCCAACTGGGATCTAAGCATAATAGTCCTGTGGAGGTGTAAACTTTGATTGAATATGCTCCACAATTCACAAATCCACATCTTTTCTACTCAATACAGACTCAGTGCCACTACTGATGGAGCAAAAATTTCATTTTTACTTGTGCACTACTAGCCGGTTTGTTAGCATTCCTTCCTTAGCTTAATTTAAACCGAATAAATGAAGGTTTGGGATGGCTCATCAGGTCTTTGACTCTTCTGCTCAGCTTACACGGTTTAAACTGAGCTGTTGAAACTTAAAAAAAATAGTGAGTGACATTTAAGTTTTTTTTTTTCATTCCTGATTAAAGTATTTTAGTGTTTGTAGTAGAATTTAATTAAAAGTAGGACTTTGAGATGTAAATTCCTCTCAAAGTTCTTTAAAATTATTATAAAATCATATAGCCTGTTGATGCAAATTATGTCTCACATTCTAGGCATGTTCAATCATTCATTGTTCCACTGGCTTAAGGTTTTAGGGAGGTTGATAATCATCTGCACATCCTGCTTCATGTGACTCATAAAATCCTCTGGTAGCTTCCTGTTTTTCTTTATTCTTTTATTGAGGGGATTGAGGGATTGGATGGATAGTGCTCCAAAGCTGATTATATTGGAGCCTGGCTGTGAAGGGGGCAGATAGACAGGACTAAAGGTGGGGTAATGGCATGGGCCGGCGTTTAAGGGCATCACGAGTATGGAGGGAGATGTGGGGGATGGGAAAAGGTAACAAGGCTGACCAGAGAGAATGAGCAGGAAGAGAAAAAAAGGGAACAGATTAGTGTTGTTAGGGGATTAAAGAAAACGTATTGTGGATATTTAGAGATGAGTCTAATTAACGATTTGGCCATCTGCAGTCTGTCTTTGGCAAACAAGTGTTTTATCCTTCTGCATTTGCGACAGCCTCAAACCTGTTGAAAAATTCTAGAGGTTTGTCTTATTGCTGATAAAACAAGAAAAGAAAGGAAACTGTGAATCTAAAAAAAAAAAAACTCAACAATAAAGTAGTTGCAAAAGCCCTGAGAGAAGCACAATTAAGAGAAGCCGACTGTTTCTAAGGCAGGATATCACACCATCTATCTGAGCAAACAAGAAGGGGGGGGGCAATATTTGTTTGCTGGTATTAGAATGTGTTTATCGCATTTGTTCCATGCACAGGCATACAAAATGCAGGGATAATTACTATCTGGAGGTTTCAGGAATAGGTTTGCAATGGCAGGTGTGATTAATGTTTAGGTGTTGAGTAGAAAGAGTGGAAGTGACACGTAGCTTGTTAGTGAGAGTGTTATTCTCTGTATTAGTGATTGAACATTTTTAAAGTTTTATAGAATGTCTGCCTGTTTCAGGCTGTGGGATGGCTGGCTGGCAAGAGCGGTCTTGGTCAGAAACTCAATTTGGTCCTTTCTTTGTGTTTGTGGTCACAGCCCATGCACAGGCTGTCTCCGGGTGCTCCAGCCCTCCTCTCTAGACCAATAATACTCCCTTTCAGAGTAATTATTGCTTCTAAATTGAGCATATGAGTGTTGCTTATCTGTGGTTTTTGCCTTGCCAACATCAACACACGTTTGCTGATTGTAGTGTCTCGCAAGGAGACTCGGAAACACCCAACAGACGAAGAGAGGCATTGACTTTACCAGTCTCATTTTAGGTCTGTATCCAGCAACAATTAATCATGATAAAAGTTTTTTAAAGATAGTACTGCATTTGATTGTTACACAAAGGTGTAAAGCCAAAAACCTCCTCCAAAGTGAAGGCTGTTCCTGAAGCACCATGTCCATTTTCACCGGAACATAGCTGACTATCGGGGAAAAAATGCAGTTGGTAGTTCCTTTCCCTTTTCACACGCGCTTCACATCAGGAGACTCCTTGTGGAGACAAGCTGTCATGGCTTAGGGAGAGGGACACTGATGAAAGGGAGGGTGTGTAAAGAGTGCACGGGAGTCAGGATATCACTCTTTGTCTTTTGCTTTTTTTTCTTTACAAGGCATTAAGGAAAGTGGATTTTGCTCCATGTTGTGATATAAATAATGCATTTGTATGTACACAAAGTGCTGATGTGTGAGTGGAAAGCATCAAACAGGACGGTAGGAAACGATGAATGCTCGAGCATATTTGCTGGTAGTCTGACTCGCCGCTCTTTACAGAGATGTAGAGGTCAGTCTGCACTTATCAGGGGTCCAACGTAGAGAAACAAGGCCCAAAGCAGAGGATTTTTCAGACACTAGCTGTATACAGGATGAGATTATTTTTAAACAAAACCAGAAAAAAATCTTTCAACGCTAACTCCTCAGAGGTGTCAATCCAAGTCTGAATGGTTGATCAGCTTCATTTTTCCATCCCTCTCCCAGGAGTGAGCCTGGCTGCCAATCAGGAGGATGAGACGGACATGGAGACGTTTCAGATGGAGATTGATAAGGAAACCAAGAAGTGCACGTTTCGCAGCAGCCAAGGAAACTACTGGGCTCTGGTGGCTCATGGAGGCATCCAGAGTACTGCCACGGACACGTGAGTGGCTCTGGGTTCATGACACGTGCGCAATAAACATGATATCGCACAGGTCTTTGAGCAGCAATAGGGAAAAATGACTGAACATTTTCTCTTTTCCTACAGATCAGCAAACACTATGTTTTCAGTGGAGTGGCTTGACCACAAGGTGGCGCTAAAAGCAAACAATGGCAAATACGTCTGCACCAAAAAGAATGGCCAGCTCCTTGCAACCAGTGACAGCATAGGTATGGCTTTTTCTTTTTTTTTTAGCTTTTACATCTTTTTTTAGATGTTATCCACACTCTGACCTGTCTTGTGGTAATTCTGGTGGTTTGAATTATTTCTGCTGCTGCCAGGTAAGGACGAGCAGCTCACATTAAAACTAATTAACCGCCCGATGCTGATCCTGAGAGGGGAGAATGGCTTCATCTGCCACCACAAGAACTCCAACACGCTGGATGCCAGCAGATCGGTCTATGACATTTTCACTCTGCAATTCAGCAACGGGGCGTACAGCATTCAAGGTCAGGCTAGGCCCACTCCTGCACAATAATGGAGGGGTTCCTATATTGAACGCCACAAAAAGTTGAAGTAGTTTCTTACCCCCGCCTTCTTCTCCTCCCTCACTGGTTTTACGTCTGACTGCACAGGTGTGGACGGCCGCTTCTGGTATGTGAACAGCGGCGGGCTGGTGTGTTCGGACGGCGAGGCCCCGGAGGACTTCTCTTTGGAGCTGCTGGAGCATGGCCGCCTTGCTATTCGAGGCAAAAACGGCAAATACTTGCACGGGGATCAGGGAGGCACGCTCAAAGGAGACGGACTCAGCCCAAGCAGCTCGGCCCTCTGGGAGTATTAATACAAATCAGCACAACTTCAACCCTCCTCCACTAATCACCACTCTACCATTAATGAGTTATCAGTTTTATGGCATTATTCCCTCATTTCCCTTTCTGCTGCAAAACAGGACCCAGATGTGAGATGCAAAAGAGAAAATAACTAATGGTTTCAGTCTATTTGATCGACAGAAGTCTCCACGTTGTGAACAGTATTTTGAGTTAGAATCTCAAACCTTGAGGTTAGTCTTGCCGAACATGGAAATTTTGTGTTATTCCTTTCGATTTTTTTTCTCAACAGACATCTGGTGCGCGCATGAGATGATGTCTGTCACTAAAGAAATAAATGCATGTAGTTTACCGAGGTGATTCCCACGCGTAATTACACATACCACACAACTTGTTTCATTGTTACATTATATCCTCTTTTTTTTCCCCAATCTCCACCACCTCTTGCAGCAATTAACAGGAGAGACAGCGAACCAGGAAAATGGTAACAGGGGCATGTAATGGGGCTTGTCACTAATCAAGTCAAGTACTCTACAGTGACACGAGGTGCCATTTGAGATGAGTGTGGTCACCATTACCGGGGATGTCGGCTGTGAGAGGAGTCAGGCTGCAGACGATGTTTAATAGCAGCATATGACGGGGTTTCAGGTAGAAACACTAGAAGACTGTAACCATGCCACAGGCAACGGCACCGGGCTTTTGACACGGCTCTTATTTCTTTAGTCAACCTGGAACAAAAAGAATCTGTGTGTGTCTATGATGCGATTTTGTGCGGTGAGATTTCTACCATCGTTATAAGAAGCCAGGGAAATCCTACAATAGAAAGAAAGTGTGTACTCTTCCCCTCCTCCAGCTAAATGTGCTCATACAGCATAGTAGGTACCTCAAACATCAGCTGTTCAAATCCAAAATGGTATTCTTTGACTTTGAAGAGAAGAGAAATTATGTTTTCTAACATGACAAGAAAAAGGTTAGAATCCTTACACCTCTCCCCCTTCTGCCTTTATGTAGTCTCAAAGAAAACGAGGAGCTAATTGGTGAGGTGTGACACCTCTGCACATTGTTTGTTGGAGGCTTATTAAACTAACTGAGCTGGCACAGAGGTAAATATCTATCCCACTCCACAGCGCATTTACAGCACTCCCTGATCAAAGGACCCGACCATCACAGGCCCGGTGCACATTCACCTTACAACATCAAAGGCCAAACAACTACATAACGAAAGGAATCCGACCAGGAGAAAAAATGTTTACTGCAGGTGAAACATGAGGGACATCCTGCGGTTGGCCACGCGTGCCGATTCTGCAGAGACTGAACCAAATGAGCATTTTCCCCAAATTCAGGGAACCTTAAATAGCTAGATCTTTCCAGTTCTCCAAATGTTAATTCACATAAGCAAAATTTCCCAAAATCTGACTTTTATTGAATTTTGGCTCTTCTTTTGGGAAGGATATAGTAGCCTAATTCTCCTGGTTTACAGCTCACACCTCCATGCAGGAGCTACTGCACATTGGTTAGATGAAAAAGGTACATAAGGTACCTTATGAGATTTGTGTGCCCCCCCCCTCCAAAACTTCTGATAGAGTGACAATGCTCAACACATTATATATGTTTAAGTTTCAGGAAGAAGAAAAAAAACAGTGGGGGAGATGGACAATGTTGAGTCATTGTTTAATGACATGGTCCTCAATATAAAATGAGGCAGAAGTTAAATTTATAGCACCTAATTACATCTATCAGGAATTGACTCATATATATGAGACAAGAGATACACAGGAAGGGACTACGTAATGATCAAAAGCTCCTCTTGCCATGCCATATCTTCATCCCCATGTCAAATATAAAGGAGCAGAGCTTTACCATGAAAGTAATTATGAGGAAATATGCACCATGAATAGACAATATTTTTCATGCAGCTGCAAAATTAGGTTAGAGGGCACCCAGCGAGGAGGAAAGGAACTGTGAATGTGTTAAATTACGAGGAGGGAATTCTGTCTGAGTTCTCTGTAAACGCTGAGAAGAAATTGGTTCGTCTGCCCAGAGGACATGCCCGCGCTGAAGGCCTCAGAGACACGACTCTGTTGGATCTGTTGTTGTCAGGGAGGGACAGACAAAAATACAATGGTTCAGAACAGATTGCTCTTCAGTCCTAAAAATGGTTTTACAAGACAGAAATAATTGACTGGAATCATTATTTAAAGGATCATGCTCATTTAAAAAAAGAATCCATCAATCAACGGAAAAAGAGCTGATTTCCATATATCCTGTCCCTCTTCCTCACACCACGGTACTACAGTAGCCCAAAAAGGACAAGCCAAAGACAGTAACTCTCAAATAGCTCCTATGAATGGCTCCTATGATTTGAGGATAGTCATGGGTTCAACTTTTATCAGTAGGTCGCCTTCTATCCTATACATTGTTCTTTTAGTGTTGTTGATTTAGGAAATAAAAGAGAAACAATACACTATATACTGTGTGTAAATCTTACCTCAGCATGCTGCATTACCCGTCTCAGACCTAACATCTGGATCCCCTTCGTGGAAGCAGGTCTAACTGGTGCCATTTGCAGCAGAGTCTGTGTGAGGAAGCACTTTAGTAAACTGAAGGAAGGATTTAAAAAAAAAATCACAGTTCTTATGACCAGTATGGTCAAACTGAGCCCAGGGTCATGTAGGATAATAAAGAAGTCAAGGTGCAGTTATAGGTATTATGAAAAATATGTTTACAGTTTACCAAGAATAGAACAAACATGTGGCATTATTTAGGATAAAATAGAAAAAGATGCAACGTCACAATTGCACAATTTAAACTTCCTGCATTAGCACTTTTGTCTTTACAGATTCGCTGTTGATTTCTATAAGATATCAAAACTTCAGTAAACTGCAAACTCCACCATACCTGCACAAAATGCCTGTTGGAATCAACTCACCATTCAAGTTCTGTTAAGTCAAAAGTGCCGGGTGTTTGTGGAACTTAACTGACTTGTGCCCTGAGTTGCTACCAAACAGACAGCCGTGGTGGGTAATATACTGAGTGGTGGCTCGTACCTGTGTCCGGCGCAGCACCGCGTGGTGCAGGCCGCACAGCGCCGCCATGGACGAGCTCTCAATCTGAACTTCGACATGGGCCACGGTCTCCTCCTTTCCCACGCTTTCCTCCTGTGCATTTATCTGGACGCAAAGCAGCGGTTCGTGATTACTACAAAACAATCCGCGGGAGTGAACTGCGTTCGTATATGAAATGATGAGTCACCTCTTTAGCGGTCAGCTTCACTGCGGCTCCGTTGGGAGCACGGGCGTGGACCACTGTGCTGCCTATGTCCACCTTTTCTCCTCCTGGTGACGCCTTTACTCCCCCGCACCTTTCCGACAGCAGCCAATGGAGCAGAGAGAGCCCGAGGCTTTGAGGGTCCGGCTCCGGTCCCTTTGTGTCCGGCCTGAGGCCTTTCGGCTGCACGGTGTCCTTCAGTAACTCCGAGGCCACTCGCAGACTTGCAGAATACCTCTCGGGCTGTCCTCCGCTGTCCACCGCTCTGCTGCGCCTGACCCGCCGCGAGCTCAGAAAGGCTCGGACGCCATCTACCGCGCGGCCGCTGGACTGTGACGGGGCCGGGGGGGCGGTCAGCTGCAGGACGTGCAGCCAGTCCACCGTCAGCGTGTCCAGGGGGAAGCTGAGGCTGCGGCTCTCTGAGCCAGAAGGGCTCGCCGCCCGCCCCTCTCCCAGGAGGTCTGAGAGCGAGAAGACCAGAGAGCAGCTGACCGTCAGGGGGAAGGACGCCTGGCCGGCGGCCGCGGCGGGCAGCGACACCTCCAGAGTTTCCCCCGGGCCCAGGCTGTGGAACGGAAAAGAGAAATTGGTGGAGGAGGTTTCCTCCGTGGCGGTGGAGGAAGAGGAGAGGGGGCAGACGGCCAGGCAGAGCGTCCAGCCTCGGTCCAAGCTGTAAGGGCTCGAGTTGTCCAGGACGCAGGTGAGAATCAGGGAGTCCTTTTGAAGCAGTCTGCCCCAACTCGCCACGGCGTGGCATCTGATTGACTCTTCTTTTGGGAGACGATGCTCCTCGGCATCGTCGGCAGCGGTCAGCAGGAAACTGATGTTGAGCGCGTGGTTCAGCTGCCTCAGAATTTGGTTTTTGGATTTGATGGTTGCTTCCAGTGCTGATGCTCTTAAAGAAAAAAAATGGGGAATTGCACGTATAGTAAAATATAGAAATGTACAAATTTCCAGCTGACTTTGCTTACCTTTCATGAACGTCCCCAATGGCAGACAGGAGGTCCTTCACACTGCGGCCTATCTGCGAGGAGGAATGCCTGGAACAGCCCTCGTCCTCTCTTCTCACAGGTAAGCTAATCCTCTGAAGCTGCCCTCGAGAGGAGAGTCCGAGCAGTTGAACTTCCCCTAAAATTAAAAAAGAAAGAAATTAAATGGTACGCAACACAACTTCACGTGAGACGAATCAGGAGAGCAGGATGAGTGACGGCGGTGATACTCTTATTTGCTACATATTTAATATCCTTTGCCATTTGAGGACTTATTCATCCTAAACTAACTTATAGAGAAGGCTTTGAAAAAAAAAAGGTTAGCATCGTTGCCTCAGAACAAGCGGATTTACTGTTTGAATTTTCAGGGGGCCTCTCCGTGTGAAGCTCCCTCTATTAATAATAACTGGTTTAGACATCAGATGGATGAATGGTTAAAAAAGGAAAGAAAAGAAAAAGCTCTTAGAAAGATGTTGATTTTGGATTGTCATTTAAACATTTTCAATCATTGTGAGAAAAAACCACACAAACCTTCCTGAAGAAAAAAGAGCTGATTTGTTCTGGTCTGCTCACCTGCATCGCTGCACAGGGGCTCAGCCAGATCGGTCACCTGGCTCACATTTAAACTGCTGGGACTTAGGGGGGCGACGTTAGACATCATCCCGGAAGCCTCTCCACCCTTGCTTTTCTCCTCTCTGCCGAGCAACCCGTCCGACAGATTTAGACAGCACAAGTCGGCGCCGGTGCTGTAGTAGAGACAGTTTCTATCCGCGGTGCCACACAAAACGGGCCCTGACACGTGGACCTCCGTAAAGGCAGCCGCGCTGCAGCCCCCCCCCTCCGCCCCGCCCCCGTCACCCCTGATCAGGACTACCCTGCCTTCTTCCCCCACGGCAACCAAGCACTGTGCGTGTCCCGCGCTGGTTTCCCTGACGACAGATGCTCCGACAAACACCAGCGGCTGTTCCAGGCTGTGGAGAACCCGGAGCCGCGGCCCCGGGACACGGAGGGGCAGGAAGCAGAGGCGTCCGTCCGGCAGGCCGCAAAGGACAACCGGTGACCCGGCCAGGGCAGCCTCCACCCCGAACAGCAGCTTGAAGAGGAGAGGCTCCAGGCAGAGGCCGGCACCAGCTGAGGGTGTGGGCGAAGACGGAGTCGCATCACCAGCAGGGTGGACACAGGTCAACACAGGCCCCCTCGCCGGGCCCGTTTTTGACCCGGCGCTCTGTAACGCGGGCGATACCAACGGCAGGCCAAACGAACCGAGCACCTCACAGGCACTGGACTGGGTCCGCTTATATAACGTCAACAGCCAGGAGGTGTCCGTCCGGCAAAGGGTCAGGAGGAGGGAGCCGACAAGAAGCAGAGTCAACACCCCGTCTGCGCGGGCAACGAGGGACTCAGAGGAGATGTTTAGCTCAGCTGGACCACAGGACGCGTCATCCGATGAGCTTTGGACTCTGCAGAGGTGAGAGAGGTTGGACACATTTTACCAGACAAGTGATGCTGGCCTCCTGTCTACTTGAACCCTCTTGCAAAGGCTTATGCCACAACTCGGTCACTCCGGTCATCAAGAGATTGTGGTCCAGCAGTGCCTACACCAAACTTCAGACAATCCAGACTGTTTTCATGTGTTGTTCCAAGATGTTGGAATGATCTACCAAGCGCTACAAGAACAGCAGCGTCCCTTTCTAACTTTAGGAAACCATTAAAGACCCACCTCTTAAAAGAGCATCTGACTCTTACCCATACCTCTATACCCCTCTACTACTCTTTCTGCACTTCCTTGTCTCTCTCTTGCTGCCACCACTGATTCTGACTAGGGATTTTGCATAAACATAAACATAATACATGTGGACACCTTATCCATCTTTGACCACAGCCAGTTTGATGCTTCCTACCTGTGCAGCAGAGACTGCAGGCTGACACAATAAACTCCACTCCTGGACGCCACAAAGAGGAGCTGCTCGTCGTGGCTCTCGGCCACATCCCTCACGGGACCCGGGAACCGGAGGACAGCCTGCAACTCAACGGCCAAACACAGCAAGCAACGTCAACCTGGCGTCCTCGGCTACTGGTCGTCAACACGGTAGCCGAGAAACACACACGAAACGAGTTACTTGCCGTGAGTCTTTTCTCGTGGGCACTGAACACAAACACCTCGTCGCTGCCCGTGCAGATAAAAACAAATGTCCCGGCACCAAACTTGACTTTCGGCGTGCAAGCCTTTCCTAAAAAACCCAAATCAGTCCAAGTTTCAACAACGCACCGTCTTTCCATGATAACTAAACTAAACGGAAGATAATGGGTGAAAAGTGTCCATAGACATAAATACAGGTGACCCCGAACCGGTTGTTGACACGAAGAAGACGGGAAAAGTTCCCCGCGTCAAGTCTTGACCAATTAGAGTTTTGAACTACATTACCCGTGAAATGTAAGCGGAAATGCAAAAAAGCGGAATGGCGGTTGAAGTTCTGACAACCAACACTCTTGTTTTACTGGTCTTCACTGGCTAAAGGGGATCATGTAGATGTGCTTTACTGTTATTCGTACAAAATATTTTATTGTTAAATTGAATTGTTGCGTGTGGGCATTTGTGTCGTGTCTGCACTCGGTTACGAACACTGGGTGGCGGTCTAGTTCCTGTGGTCATTACGGCTTTCCACGAAGAAGAAGTTCGACTCCCGTGGTAGTCTTTAACCGCCAATCAAAACAGCCGAAGTGCACATCCGCCGAAATTTAAAAACGCCCTCTAGCTCGGTAACTTTAGACGGCGACACAGGTTTTGGACTAGATACATAGCACTTATTTCCGTATAAAACATGGACCCGTTCAACGAGGAGGATATCAAAATGTATTTTTTCAAAAACAGGCTAAAAACGTTTGAAGGGTGGCCGTTTGACGAGGACTGCATGTGCACCCCGGAGAACGTGAGTGAACGTAGAACGGTCGAGTTTAGTGTCTTTGAGCAAGGCCTCACCTCTGGACAGTTAACGCGAAAAGGCCAGATGTAAACAAAACAGCTAATCTCAGTTGCTTTACACTGTGGTCGGGGATTATGCACCTTTACAGCTGTTCGGTGTGTCTTTTTTAAAAGCTGTTTTGTTTGTCGTTTTAAAGAGCAAATTTTATAAATAGATCATTTGGATTCCAGGTTTGAACTCTTACAGTATTTCGTAATAGGGGGGGGTCATACTATCCATTCATAACATCTCTGTTAAATTGTAAAAATGTTCTGGAGTAGGAACTCCAATATTATCATCTGAGTGGTTAATTTAACTTGCCACTTGAGTAAATTAACATTATTTGTCAACACTCATAGATCATGAATGCATTTGCCATGTGATGGTTCTCCACTTTCTGCTTTCAGTCATAGTAAGTTAGAATTGCATTGACAGTAACACAGAAAAGAGTAAAATGTCAAAGTAACATGACATCAACACTTTAAAGCCTGTAACTGGAATAGTCATTAGTAATATGATTTTTACCCCACTAATGAGAATTTACAATATAAACACAGCTTCTACATGAAAGTTAGATTTAGATGTTTTTTCCCTCTAGTTGCTCACAGATCAGGTGGATTGTATCGATTAAAATCTTTACACAAATGTTTGTTCAACTAGTTTAATACGTGTGCACAGAACTGTGGGTTATTTAGTGTATTGATTTCTTCTGCTAGATGGCCAAAGCCGGCTTCATCCACACACCTACAGAGAACAGCCCGGACATCGCCATGTGCTTCTTCTGCCTCAAAGAGCTGGAGGGCTGGGAGCCAGAGGACGATGCAGAGTAAGGATTAAAAATAAAAAACAAATGCAAAAGGCATCAACATTTGCAATTACCCTTGAAATAGCCTTTATCTAATTGGCTACAGAAGTAAAATACATTATAGGTGTGCTATGTATGACTATAAAAAGCTACAGCACATCAACAGTAAGACCTTCTTCAACAACAGTTTTAAAAGGGTTGAAAAATCTCAAGCGTGTTTAAAAGCAGTTGAAGAAAAGCTTTATTTCTGTCTTGTGATGGGGACATGTTTTCCCTTTTTGGGCCAACAAATTCTTCCTGTTAAAGATATCTGGGATCTCTAAAAGACACCAGGTTAATTTCAACCAGTTTATATTTGGAATACTCACCTTAAGTAACTCCTATCAATGTAGATCTCGCTAAGCTGCATCACGATGCTCCTTATCAACCCAGGCTTTCTGACTATTCGAATGAGGAAAAACAGGCGGCTTATCACTAATTCATCAACAGCAAAAGTTACTAGTTAAGTTAATTAAAAAGACAGTATAGGAAAATTAATGAATCAACCATAAACAGAGGATTTGTCATGGACAATGAGTGTTTTTCCCCTCTGAGTGTTCACTTCTGTTAGGTTTTGAATCTGAGCACAATGTAAACAAAAGATTGTGTTCTAGTGTGCGTGTGTGAGAGTTTAGAAGTGTGGCTGCTGTGGTTTTTCTTTTGCTGCCTTAAATCTGTTCATGCTTGTCAGAAAAAAACTCACTATCTCTTTTCTTTTTTTCAGGAAAGAGCACAAATCTCATTCCCCCTCCTGTCAATTCATTGCCTTAAAGAAAAAGGTAGAAGAGCTGACGGTGGAAGAATTCTTCAAACTAGAGAAGGAGAGGCACAAGAACATCATTGTAGGTTTTCTGTCATTTTAAACTTCCACTGTGCCATAATAGGTTTTTAATGTACATTTGGTTCTTTATGCTCAATTAAACTGTCCTGATGTGTGAACCAACGTCACAGTAGCGATGCCCCCCCCCCATTCCTGTGTTTGACTCTGATCCAGACCCAATTTGTTTTTATGTGTAGAGAAAAATTGGAAATGAGGCAATTGCCAAGATTGAAGAGGCAGCCAAACTGAGAAGAGGCGATATCATCAAGACCGCCATGGGAGAAGAGTGACGCCGGAGAAGATGCGGATGTATGAGATGTGTGTGGGAGTGTGTGTGTGCCTGAGTGTGAGGGAGAAAAACTGTCAAGCTGTTGTTCTGTTTTCTCAATTAACTAAAACGTGTTTTCCTCATCTTTCGTCATATCCTTGCAGTGCTGTATATGTGTCTTCTTAAATACTTTGGGTGTTGGTTCATTAAACATGGTTCTTTTAACTGGTGTGTTGTTGGTGTTTTTATTAATAACTCATTCATTGGTCTCATACCAAAGCCATGAAATTCATACAGTCAAACGTGGGCTTTCATCACTGATGTCGGTTATCGTTTCAAATACTTTTCCAGATTAACCTGCCACGAGTTGTGGCTCGTTCACAAACACACGTGGACATTGTCGGTCCGAATCTAATTCCATCAAAGTTCAACTGAGTGCAGCGTCACGCCAAATTGAGCCGTGCGTAAAGGCGCGCGCCTCGGGGGTGAAACCGAGTCCCTCCCAGGCAGAGGGATGTGCGCAGCCTCCGTCCATCCACAACACTTCTCAGATGGTTTTATCCATTCCACTGGGAAGGTTCTTGTCGTCAAAGAGGCATTACGAAGTCGTCTGCTTTCTGTTCGCGTTTTGACAGAGAGAACATTTCCCCGCTTCTTCAGTATCCCGGAGGCTGGGTCCCGTTTTACGCGCGACTGACCCTCCTCCACCTGGACAGGATGAGGGTCAGCTTTGGCGCCCTGGCGATCACCGCCGGAATCTGCGGGATTCTCAGCTTCGGGTTCTTGGCTACCTCCCTCGGAACCGATCACTGGTACGTCATAGAGATGAATCCTGTGAATGCGTCGGACTTTGAGGACATAAGCTTCCGCGCGGGGTTGTGGAGCGTTCATGAAGGTAGGCACGAACTTCACGTTAACTTTGTCACGCGAGAAAAAAACACTCTCTCCTCTAGGTGGTAGACGGTTGCGTTTTTTCCTTTTCTTTCTACATTCAGGAGAGAAGATTGCCGACTCCTTCACGGCTGATTATTCCCAATTCTCTGACACTGAGCTGCGCTTGATGAGTGAGTCTCTCTTCTGGATTTAATGAAATATACCATAACCCGCGCCATAACCCGTCTGTTCCCCCCCCAGACATGCACGGTGCTATAGTGGTGGTCCTGCCCCTCAGCCTGGTCCTGCTGCTGTTCGGGGGCATCTGCGGCCTGGTCAGTTCCCTCGCTCAGAGCCCACTCCTCCTCACCGGCACAGCCTCCTTCTTCTTCGTCTGCAGTAAGTGGAGCCCTGGGGGGTCTGTTCTCTGATGCCCCGAGGGTCAGAGGTCAGGTCCAGGTGGTCAGCCTCACCCCGATTCATCCCAAACAACACTCTTTTGTACGAGTAGGGTAAATAAAAAAAAGGCACCTGCTCTTCTATCACACTTTAGGTTGAGCTGCAGTGGGAAAGACACTGGAATGACACATTGCTGCTGTTAAGTTCATTGAGGCAGGGGCCGGTTAAAGGCCACAAACGAGAGGAGACTCAATTTCCTGACACATGACAATCATTTGGTGGCCGTGTGCGGTGAGGTCCAGATTAGCTCAGAAATGTTCTATCTTTTCACCCCTTCCTCCTCGAACCGCGGCGAACAGCAAATGGAGGGACGGCACTCACACTCGGGGCGTGACGAGACAACCTGGGTGCTTGACAAATTAATATGCAGACTCAGAATGAAAGAACACGGATGATCATCAGCCCAATTTGCAGTTAGTCGATTCAAATTCAAACCTAAGCGATCTTTTTTAAATGCTTTGGAGGTTTTTTCAATATGTGCTCAGTGGCATTTTCCAGATCGATAAAAAGTGGAATTTACTCTTGGTACATTGTTAGGATGATGACCTAGAGACAGAAGTTAAAAACAAGACATTCTTTTGGGTCTTCTTTTTTAAAATTGCATGATGGGGAGAGAACGAACAGCGTGTCAAAGCCTGGATCCTCTGCAAGATTAGAGCCTCCAGATAAGATGACTTAAAGCCCCATAACTTGTTTCGAATCATGATTCAGAATGAAAATGTAATGTGAAATGTAACTGCAGTGGAGATGGGATCCAGATGTAACTGCTCTAAATAAAAATGTTTCCAAAGTATGTTAGAAAGGACAGTTTCCAGTCCTTGTAAGACATCAGATGAAAAAAAAGACGACACTGGGCATAGTTTCCTCACCACAGAATTCAATCTAAGAAATTTGCAAATGAACACCTGAACATTCTGAATTTGGCATCTTATTAAAAAAGACACACCTACCGCTGTCCAGCAGGAGGTAGAATGAACCCTGCTCCTGCCTGGGCTGGAGCCTGTTGTGTGAGGTATGCATGACTGGGATGGGAAGAAAAAGTTCAAGTAAATGCTGCCAAACTGCAGTAGCTTCTTTCATCCAGTGCTTCAGAGCCGTGGTGAAATACATTTTTATCAAGCTAAAACAGAAACACACACAAAAAAACAGTGCAGGCTACTCTAAGAGGAGTCTGCACTTCAGCTTCACTGTCTTGTTTCAGTGAATCGACCTGAAACATGCAAAGCAAAGAAACAAGAATTTAACTGGAGTCCTTTGTAAAGGAAATTCAAATACACCAATCAAGTTACTCAATATGAACGTTTTTAGATGAAGTTTTGTGCTAACTTTTTAGTTTTTCTTTCAGCAGGGCACAACATTTGTCCGTGTACAAAATCAGATAGAATTAGAAGAAGATTACCTCAAATGGTCGGATCAGAAAGCCTAAATGAGTCAATTTTAGCAAATAAAATTAAACCATAATGCTCCATAAATTCAAACTAGGCGAGATATGTATGTTAAAACACTGAGTAGGTCCTTCGAAAGTCAATCTCACATTTACTGATATTACCTGAGAGATTAGTTCGTTGTGTAATGGACATTGACAGGATTTGAAAATAAACCTTTATTGCCCTTTGATATGAAAAATATCAGCAAGCCAATAAGGAAAAAGGAAGACAAATGAATGTAGGATGGATGGATAAAGACACTTCTTGTCTCTAAACATTGTTTCAAACGGAATCTGTCCTAAACGCCATCGCTGTTAAGAGCAAGAAACGCAATGATAGACTGGTGGAGGGAGTAAACAGTCTGAACACAGGGCCTCCGTGTTATGACTCTGAGAAAGATGCCAGGCAAAAGTAATTAGTGAAATATGCAACCAGACACAGGTCGGAGCTTCATTTCTGGTGCCCATCAGAGTCTCCACAGGTTTGTGGAGGCATTCTTCTGCTCCAAGGAGAACATCCATATCTGGATATGTTCACATCAATAAATGCTTTGACTAAAAGCATCTTGTTTCCCTAAAGCATCTCCCATCATGAGACCAGCCTGCAAAGATCTCGCAAATCTATAGCCAATAGCTGTTAGGATTTCATGCCACATGCCACAGAGAGAACCGGCATCTTCTAACAGGCCACAAATGTGAATGAGCTGACAAAAAGCTGCTAATATGTTACAATGAGCAAGAAATCTTAACGCGAGATGAAAAGAATAATCTAAATTCTACCATCAATAATCCAAATCGAGATGATAATCAAAGTGGTAACCATCTAGAACTGAGCAGCCCTTCTAAACAGAGCCAGATTGTATAACGTGTCACAAATCTGATTGGATAAACTTAATCACTGGTGGACAACAAAAAAGGGAAAATGTGATAATGAAAGCATAGAGCATTCATATCAGCCCTAAATTGGCATGTAGCTGTCATATACCAGACGGCCAGCGAGAGTATCTAACAAATTACATAAATGTTGGTTATTGGTAGCATTAGATTAATGCTAACCACCTTAGGGCCATTATGTTAACCTGGGTATTTACAGTAATCAACTTACTCTCGTGCTCATAACCCTAGCTCAAGAGAATCTGCCCCCCCCCCCAAATCTCTTGGTTGCTGTTCCGCCAACGCCTTATGACCTCCACACAGAGAACCTTGTGATAGACAAACACTTACTTTTAAAAAAGTCTCTTTACAGTCTCATCTTAATGAGCAGCACATGGTAATGAGCCAAATGGGATAAAGGGTTGAATTAGATTTCAGTCCCCTTGTGAACTTGTTGACTGTCCAACTTTTAAAATAACCCACCCGCCCTCAAAGCCAGAGCCTGTTCCCCGTGTCTGCTGCTCCTCATTCACCTTCGCACTGGAGATGATATTCGATTAACACTCTCTACGGGAATAGTCTCAGAGAGCATCCCCGGCCTTGTTTCATGTTTAAAACAAACAATAAAAGTCCACCGAGGCACATGTGAAACAATGTGACACTGTAAATGGGACGGGAGCAAGATCGCCCTTCATTATGAGTTTTTTTACTGATAGAACAAAGAGAGGTAAATTCACCACAATGGCCTTTTTTAAAAAACCAATAACTAATTTAGCAGGAAATGGGAAAAGCAAAACATGACCAAACAACGCTAATACATGTGCAGTTTTTATATATTTATATTTTTGCTTTTTCCAGACGTTGAGTTTATCAAAGGGAACCTTTTTCACAACATTCTTTTACCTCTAAAATGTTATCACTCTCTGCACAGCACAGCACAGGACTGGGCCCTGGTGTATGTCCATGACTGCACTTGATTTCCTGCCTCTCTAAATGTTTTTTTGTTCGTCAGTGTGTTTGTTTTTAATTAGATTTGCTCGTCTCTTACCCCTCCACATTTCCGCCTCCTAATGGCTAGAGTAAAAACGTCTGCGTTGCCTCGGTTTGATTCGACACCGGGTCGCCAGATGTGTGTTTTTCCACTGAGTGTGGACCCTGTTTTTTCCTCCGGTCTCCAGGCCAGCTGACCCTGTGTGGGGCCAGCCTGTACGTGGTCTACTCGCACCAGGCCCTGGCGGAGACGGAGAGGCTGATAGGGCGGGAGGGCCTGGCCCGCATCCACACCTCCTTCGGCTGGTCTCTGGGCCTGGCCTGGCTGTCCTACGGCCTGGAGCTGCTGGCCGGGGGGCTGCTGCTCGCGGCCGCTAAGGTGACCGCCCTGAGGCGGGGCCGGCCCGGGACGGCCTGACGGGCCCCCGGGGGACAGAACAGTTGGGTTCGTTGCTGCCATAAAAAGGGAGCTCACTCTCCAAGTTAAGTTCGACTAATTCTGCCCTCTTGTGGTGAGGAATTGAATGTTTTTCTGGTGTGCAGAATCAGAGCTCCTGCTCTTCCTCCTGCAGCTTCACCTGTGCAACAACACAAGAGTATGACTTTTCTTTTGTTACATTAAAGCTGTGGAAGTATTGTTAATCTAAAACCTGCAGCCACGACCTCTACCAACAGATTACGACGGTCTGAAATGTAACTGCTCTTTTTGTCTGGGATTGTTGGGTGACATCTTGTCAGTCCAAGAACACATTTTTGTTCTAAAAAGTTCTAATTGTTTGTTGGGTTTTTGACTACAGCTAAAAACGTTTCCTTACTCTAAATGAGTTTACTATCTTCAGCTTTATTTTGCCACAAATTTAATCAAGTCGTGTTTTAAATCTCATGTAGTTTCAGATGATGTAATGCAAGTCTGACTTATTCAGAGATGGGGGAAAAAAATAAATTTACAGCAAAAAGATGAGAGACTTACAAAATAGGGGCAGTGGCTAAGAGATTTGGATCAAAGGCCAGTTTGAATGGTGACTGTGACTGTGGAACTGGAGACTTGGATCATTAGAAATATGCTCTCAGTGTGTACACAGGTTTAGTCGGGTTTAAGAGCAGCGTCTGTGCGTCAGGAGGAAACTGTTTTTTGGGAAGGCCCTATGGCTTTTTGCCGAGGAGTCCGTGTGCTGGACCGGCCTGCCTGCAGTCCTGACCTCTCCTTACTTTTATTATTGATAAATGGCAAAACCTGCAAAAGACTAGGATCGTTAAGCAGCTGGGATCTTATAAAAAACATGGTTGAAGACCACCCAGCGGTGATCATGGGGCCGGTCCAAGTCCCACAGTTTATGTAGCTGGCAAAATTGACATTCGTTTTTTCACAAAACTGCACAACATCTCATTTCAACTTTAGTGATTTTTCTGTGCTGTATTGTGAATAAAATACTTATTTGTAAAACTAAATCTTTGCATTCTGTTTTTATTCATGTTACACAGCATTTAAACTTTTTTTTGGAACTAGGGTTATAGGGGATTATACAGAATGCCTCTGCTCTTTGTTGATCCAGACATGCAACGCGCCAAGTGTATTAAACAACGAATGAGCTCAGCCATCATTTGCTCAAACAAGAGAAAAAATGTGTTTAGTACATTCACTTTATCTGTCAAATGCCCTTAGCTGTAACGGAGAGGCCACAGTGTGTTCGTCCTGCTTCCTCTTGGGGCTTTAACCGACAGCCCGGAGACACGGCCTTTCGTCCTCTTTAAGATAAACAAGTTGTTTTAGAATTAATCACGTCGAATTTGAAGGCGGTCTTTAAGGCAACGTGAACCACCACACCCTCATGGCAGGGAAACTTTGTGGAGTCTTTACAAACAACAAAACTCAACAGTCAAATAAATATATTGTGCGGGGAAAAAACTGAACCATATTGTACATATTACATATAGTTCATTGTTGAAGAGGTGAGGGAGGAATCTAAACCGTATCGGAGATGACTGGCCTGTGTCCGGCTCTTTGGGGGTGACATTCGAGCCAAATGGATGGGAATGGATGAGAACGAGAAAGGAAAAGGCCGCTTTGACCCGCTTCTCATGACCAGGGTTATCCTTAAGGCCTCTTTGAAAGTCTTAGTCCATGTAGCTCTATTTGTTCTTCCCACCACTCGCCCCCACCGTACGGACAGCAGCCCTTTTAGGGGGCACGTGGAGTCAACCCACCAGAGTTCACCACAGTCAGGTGAGGGGGGAAAAAAAGTGCCCTCACGTGATCGTGTCTCTTTGAGAATTAAATACCGGGGCGTGTCAGCCTGGCAGGCACACCTTCCCAGCAAACAGCAGTCCCACTATGGTGAAGAAGATGGAGAGGATGAAGAGCACGTAGGAGGAGCCCACCATGGTGTTGTTGGGCAGCTTGTACGGCTGTCCTCCCACCTCGCTGATGTAGAAGCCCATCGGGAATATGAGAGCAGCCATACAGAACAGGACCACTGTGACAGGGAAGAGAGAGAACTATTAACAACAGCTTAGGGAAAAAGTTGATATTTATCATTTACAAAGTACAGACCTGTCCATCTATATACTCTAAAGACAGTAACATGTTTCTCAATCTGAGCTAGGCCAAACTCCCTCTTTAACACGCCCTTCTACAGACCAATTTCACCTTTTTTTTTAAACCATCAGAAGCAGTCATCATCCAATAGGCTTCCCCAGAACTTTGCCAGGCTGAGCACAGATATCAGGGCTTCAGTAAAAACAATACATCCTCCACCGTTAAGATAAAATCGGAATATCATTCTCTGACTGACATTTTTTAACTATAATTGGGCCGGTTTGCCTCAAACCGCAGCTTTCACAGCAACTCTGGAATGTTCAAATGATGAGGCTGTTTTTCTTGAGTCTCTGGTCAAAAACATGTCTGCCGGCCCGAGCTGCCGGTGCTTCAGACCAGAAGAACATTATGCTAATCATACCATGAAAGGCTTTTAGAAAACAGTCTACAGGAGGGGGGGGGTTAGTTTGAATCAAGCTTAGCTGTGATTTAGCATGAGTTTATTCTGTTATTTCACCGTGTGCTCTGCCAGCTCTGCTGCTCAGGGGTCACTTCAGTCTGCAGAATCATGATTTAGTTGATTTAATGGAGTTTGGCCAAAAAAAAATCTGTGTTAAGTGACTGGTTACAATTGGCAACATGTTTTACAATCGATTTAAAAAGCATTTAAATAAGAAACATACACACACAAATCCTTTTAGCTATATGTATACTTATATGTATGTATATATAAATATATGTGTAAAGTATATATCTAAGTTTGAAAACAGCATGGTATAAGAATATTTAGAATGATTTAAAACAATACCAGCAGCCCCTTTTTAGCCAAGTATGACTCCATATTTGTCAGATACAACCATAATCATATGTTTAAAAGTGGCCTATAATTGTGGGTCTGGACCAGTGTCAGTACCGATTGCCCAGCTGATCCTAAATGCTCCCCTTTCATAAACAAGAGGGAGAAGAGAATGGTCCCAGGAGGCAGCGAGCACCTACTCCCTGTAAAGGCGATCCATCGGGCATAGCGCGTGGCCCCCTGGTGCCAGTGTGACATCACCAGCAGCCCACAGGTGATGCTAAGAGAGACGATACCCAGGATGATGAAGAAGAGCGTGGTCATCCACTCTCGCGGGAGCTGGGGAGGGATGCAGGTCCGATGGCGGCCGTGGATGGTTTGGCACTGCCGGATGAGACCAACGGTCAGAGAGCCTGCGGAACAGAACAACACCCACTTATCTCCTGCTTTTCTCTGAGCTGCGAAGTTAAGCGTCACGGGCTAAGAACGGGATAGAAATATCACGTTTATCACAGTCCCGTTGTCTTCCTTTAGCTTGAGCATGCATAATAGCACCTCTATCCAAACCACGGCAACAGATGATGTCATTTTTTCTCGCTGTTAAGCAGCTGTAAAGCACGATGACCCCACCCCCGACCCCCCCATGGGGGACTGAACGTGGAGGAAGCAGTTTGTATGGAAACGAGGAGTGGAAAAGATGAGACGGGTGACGTCAAGCGGGCCGGGGCTTCTGGCACTAAGCGGCAGAGCATCACGGGGCGGAAGCGGCCTCCCGTCTCATAAAGCCTGGCGGCTGAGGTGATGTCAGGAAGGAGGACCTCTGCCAGTAACAGACACAAAAGCAAAGACTGCATCTGCCTGACTCTGCGCCCAGGCCCAGCAACGCTCCTCACCTAACCGGAATGGAAAAAGCGCATAATGAAATCCTCCCACGTGGTCATTTATTCACCCCCCCCCAAAGAATTATCTTCGGAAAGCTGTTAGTGCACAGCAAGAAGACGCATGAGAGGAGCTTTTATACATTTTATGCTTTTATGAATTCAATCAAGGCCATTTGAACTCACTGAGTGCAGAATTAACATAATTGCCCCAATGGCCAAAATTACAAGAAAGCAATATGACTGAGTGAGCAGAAAACCCATCTTGTACTTTGGCTTTGATTTAAGTATTACAAAGCTGCGTTTGAATACAAATCAGGCATTTACAGCAATCAGCACCCCTCAGTTTGCATTTTACTATAAACTTTTATGTCCACACAGTGGGATCAGCCAGCACACGGACAGGAAGGAGGCGTTTGAAATCGAATGTCCGTCTACCCATGCCTGAAACACCCTCCACCTTTCCCCACATGTTTGGGGCCTTGTCAGTTTTTCGTGGTAAAGCTTCAGCACAACAGATGGGTGTGATAACCCGGGCCGGGCGGGAGGGAAAATGAAGACGGAACCGCACTCCCCTGCCGGCAGACTCATTCCTTCCCATACTCAGGATATCCTGTTTCTCCCAACGCATGTCCTCATACCACAGGGGACAATGTAAAGAGTACACGCACTTCCCTTCAACTTCCAGCTCGGGCACTCAGTGTCCTTTTATTTCTTTCCTTGCTGGAGAGCGGCTTTTGCTTTTTGGAAAATTTGGAGAGAAATGTGTTTTTCCTCAACACAGTCGATGCCCTTTTCTTTTTCTATTATTCACACAGCACAAATTCTCAGAAGATAAACGAGGTCCATTTAAGCTCAGCTCAGTTCAGCCCGATGGCTAATGAGGAGAGCCCCAGGGATGAGGAGAATGAGGAGAGTACAGGGATTTCTGTACAGGGGGAAGTAGGAGAAGTGGAGGGTGCTAGATGTGCCTCATCACAACAGTGTGGTGACGGCTCTGGAGTTTCCCCCCCAATGAACTCAGCCCAGTTAACTTCACTCCTTCTACAGGGGGTTTCATCAAGAGCGTGCCACCGTTTGCACGGAGCACCGAGCTCAGCTTGTGGCAGATGCACCGCCACACACTCACCCAAACGGGGATCTGTTAAGTGCTTTTTTCCACGAGTTCTGGAGGTAGAACGGCCCCACTTAGATCCCAGCCTGCTCAGATCACCTCACTGCCCTAAACCGTCCACAGTTTAGCAGGAGGAGGAAGCAAGAAGAAAGAATTTTCCAGAGGAATGTTTTGCCTTTCTTTTTCTCCACGATAAGGTTTTGTCTATGCTCTTACAAAAAAACTTAAAGGTAGCATTGTGTTATTATAAACTTCCATAGTCTTTAAAAAAAAAAAAAGTGTATGCTTCTATCTGATGGTGCTTAAAGACCCTGGCTACAGTTTTTATGGGCTTAGCTAATGGACACTCCCCTCTTATAGCAACAGTAAAATAATATCTTAGAGGAAAAGAAACACACATGCACAACACACAGTTGTAAAAGACAATTCGAACTGACAACATTTGAAATGTAAACATAAATCGTAAAAAAATAAGAAAACAAAATTAATAAATTCACATTTGATTTAGGTGTTTTTGCACCTAAGGGTCAATATGTAAAGATAAACAGTGAACACGTCGCATTGCCTAATAAGGGGCTTTCAAAGTTAATAGAAAACAAATAACTTTTGGGGTTTTAAACCGAGGATTAACCTCTTCCGATTGTTTTCGAGGAACCCAGAGCTGCTGAGCACGCAGAGCTTTTATTCACCAGGTGGAAGGCATTACTCTCCCAGGAGGCCTAATTAAAAGTCACACATTTTCAGTCCCAAACAACACTTCCTGCCCTCAGGTAATTACTCCTTGGCTAATGAGAGTGAAACAACAGGCTTTTATGCAGTCATTTAACACCATTATTTACGATAAGGAAGTGGAGGCAAAAACAGTTTCCCTCAACTTCAGTCCACTTTTCTCTCTGCGGACTGATAATTTATTCAGTAATTCAAAAAGAGAAAAAATCCTTACTACGTGCTGCATTAGGCCTGCTTGTGGGGAAGCACATCTGGGCAGCTGTGTGGCGCCTTTGGTCTGTTGCATCAGTTTTAGTCGGTGCTCAGCTTTGGACTTTTGCATACGAATAACACCTTACTGCAACAACAAGGGAGGCCATTCATCCTTGAGAAATATAGCCTCCACTCTCCACCTGTACTCAAACCTGTTTTCCAATACAATTATCCCTTTTATGTTTACATCTCTAGGCTGAATAGGAGTGAATATATGTTTTAGGAAGTATGGATTATTAATTAGTACTAGAGATCAGACAGTGTTTGTAAAAGAAAGACATTGTATCTAAAAAAGAAGAAGCCAACTGTCTTAAATCCGCCATAGTTGGACTGTCCAGCAGGGGGCGACTCTTCTGTTAAGTTGCGTATAATTGAGAGGATGAACGTCCATGTTTAGGTATCTGTGGTTTCAAAGCTCCGAGTTACGCGTTCAGCTGGCCACAACAGCCCATGTAGTGAATTTATTCACCATTTGAAGGGAGACAGTGGCCCTCCTGGTGCCGGAGACATGTTGGACAAACCCTAAGAGGCCACCGTGGGACTGCACTAAAGGCCACTTCAGTCCCACGCGAGAGGTGACTGTGGGTTTGACCACACAGCCGAATTTAAGTCTTATGTTCAAACTAACACTTATGACTCCAATAAAGACTTTACAACAAGTTTTGGGGGTTTTCAGTTACCATTTTTAGGACTTCTTCATTACAGCCAGTCCAGTAAAGGTTGAGAGGAGCCAAACAAAGCTGTTTCATCTCCCAGTGACCACAGTCTGGTCCACAACAACAACAACAACAGAAACATCGTCCCTGTGCGGACTGCGTGACTGTGGACCTAAAGGACCAACCTAGCTGAGAGCTTGTGTACCTGGTCGAATATCCGGGAGGTCAGAAAGAGTCCAACAGTGTGACTAACAACGCCGAAAGGAGAACTTTTCTCCAGAAAAAACAACGCGAACCGGGTAGCTAACAAACCAGGCGCCTCCCGGCAACGCACGCGCTCGCCTTTTTCGGACTGACTAATATTGTTTACGGCAAAACTGTTACCAAAAACGGACTTTTCGTGTCGCCCGACTTGAGGCGGCGGCGGCACCCTACCGGCGGACTCTCCGGTGTTGATCCAGTCCGAGCTGACGATGCTGGCGATGGCGAAGATGTCCGCGGCCAGGAACAGGCACCCCGATATGACGGTGAGCTTATCCATGTCGGCGGGCTCCCACAGTTCCGTGCCTCCGTCTCACATCTTTTTTTCCCTCCCTTTCTTCTCTTTACGGCGCGGAGAGCAGGCTGTCAGAAGTCAGAGATGTCTGGCATGTGGACCCATCCTGTGGGCAGCTTATGTCCCGACCAGCTGGACCTTCTCCAGCGCCTCTCCGGCCACCCCGACTCATGGAGCTCCCAGTTCTGCCAAATCCCGCTGATATTCGGGGAAATGGAGGAGGGGGGTTGGGGGGAGGGAAAAAAACTCGCCTGGATTGTGTACACGTAATCCTGTGTTTAATTTCCCAGCGATGTAAACATCTTCACGCATGCAGTACGACTTATTTCCGGAGTTTGAACGAGTCCTCGGAGCTCTCTCCCCCCATATGGAAGCGTCTCCTCTCCTCTCCTCCGGGCGAGCGCCGACGGGAAAACACCGCCCCTTCTTACATAAAAAAAACGTTGTTTTTTTTTTCTTTCTACCCTCGAGATTACATTCTGGACACGCAAAAGGCTCGGTGCCTGATTATTGCCAGTTTGAAGGCAACTCCTTTATTGACCAACGGTGTTTTTACTCCCACAGTGTGGAAAAACTAGAAACCTAGCCAATTTTTGTCTCCGTGCCCGTTTAATAAGAAACTCTCGCGAGAATTTGTGCACCTAATAGTACCTTTAGCCATAGCATCACCATGATAAATGCAAAAAAGTATTCTCATCAGTTTTAAACCAGTGGAGTTACTGCAGTTTTAAACCTGTTTCCTAGTGCAGACTGTTTAATTTGGGAATTGAATTTCCTCAGAAAAAAACAAAAACAAAACATCAGTTCTAACTGATGGTGGGGAGCACTGAGAATAATATACTGTAGGTGTAGCAAAAGAATTAGGGGGAACTGATGAAGCCTCTTGGATGAGAAGCGAAATGTCTTCTAGAAAACTTCACGTCCAGTTGCCTGACCTGACCTAACCATGACCTGGATGACTGAGAATCAACACAGATATATTACCTTTCATTGTTTGTGCACCCATCTGGCACAAGAGGCTGCAGATTAGGGGAGATTATTATTTGAATCAGGGCACAACACATTTTAAACTCTGTTAAGGTAGATAGAATTTATTCCTTATTTTACATCAGCTATACAGTAAATGTGGACAGATGAGTGAAGCACAGTACTGTGATGCAGCAGGCCAGTATCAACATATGCTGCTAAAACACCTATAAATATCCTGTGATGTTATGACATTTCACAGAACAGTGGCACTGCAAAAAACAATGTTCTGTTTTGTTTAATTTTTCAATTCTTATGTTGGGGAAACAAATTTAACTTTGCTGTTGATCAAGGTACAATATGATGTGAGGAAGACGGGTTTAGATCTCATCCACAAAGGGGGTATTCACCAGGTTGCCGCTGGATGCCATGGTCTTCTTGCCGGTCACAAATTTCTTTGCAGCCTGGAAGTAGCAAAACAAATAACAGATAACAAAGTGCCAACATTAGTTTGAATCACAGATCAATATTCAATCTTTCATAATAAAGTATTGATAGATATAAATGTATTACATTAGCAACATCGGTCAAAGAGACATTGTCAATGTTTTTGCAGATTGCCTCAGGAGAGTGGTAAGACCCACTGGCCAGAGCCTGGGTGCCCATGGCCTCCAACAAACCCTCTGAAGTTTCCAAGGACATCAGGAACTGACTCTTAACCTGGGCCCTGCGGATATAAGAGAGACAAATGCATTATTAGCCGCAACCTTTAAGAGTGAAAACTTGGTAGCTGATTAGATTTCATGGTAAAGTTTCTCACTTCTAGAAAGAGGAAGTGCACGCTGCATCTCACAATGTGCAACCGTGCTAAAAGTGTAAAAATAAGCAAGGCTGAAATTTTGGATTCGGGTTTCTTACTTGGCTCGGGTGAGGTCAGCAGCTGTGACCCCGCCATCAGCGACAGCCTTCACCTCGGCCAGGGCTGCCCTGATTACCTAAAGACAGACGAACAGAGAGCCATACATCAGAAAGATTTTTCTGTTTTTTTACTTGTTGCCTTTAAGGCAGAGGGAGAAACTGGGTGACTTTGTTACGCAGGACTCTAGGATGACTATGTCCACATTTCATACTCACATCGCCAGCTGCTGCAGTTTGGCAAATGGTGTAGACCCCAAATAGACCGGAGTCAGAGTAGCTCACATTGAAAGCACTCACCTGTGGGGAAAAAAAACTGTGCTGTGATATTTTACAATGGCAAGTTCTTCAGTAAGTATAGATATCATAGTATCATAGATTACGTCACAAACTGAGTTCCACTCACATCAAAAGGGTCAGCGGTGGCCTTGGCGACGCCCTGAATAAGCTTGCTGGAGACACCTGACCCCCTCTTGACGTGGGGACCGGCTCCCAGCAGGTGCTGCAGCACACTGAAGGCCAGTGCCTCGCTGCTGTCGGCCGGGGCCGACTGGCTCACCACAGCCGAGTGCACCAGGGTGTTGGTGTTCAGCAGACGGATCTCACCTGGGGACAAGATGGGGAGAATTCAGGGATACTTGGGTTTCACTCGCTGGAGGTTTCTGGTTTCTGATCTCCATCTGCCGCGTCGCCTCACCTCCACGGTACTGGGCCTGGGCCCCCGTTGTGCCAGCTCCACTGCGGATGTTGAGGAACTGCTCCCCCACCTGCTTCAGCACTGCGTGGTTAACCCCTGGTGGAGCACATGGGCATGTAACATTTGCAATAAACCCAGGCATGTTAACAGGGTGCTTCCAGGCGCTAACGTCACCATGGGCGGTTACAGCTCCAATAGGGATAATTTTTCTTACCTATTCCAACGAGAGCCATCCTAGCACTCGTGAAGTGGTTTTGGACAAACTGGTGGAGCTGGAATAACAAAAACAAATGTCACAGAAACGTTTTTTTCTTTACCAGAGATGGTGTATCGTTATTACCAAGTCTTTAAACAAAGGCAGAAATATTCACATGTTCCGACTGGATCTGGTCCACCATGTGGTCTGGGCAGTACAGGGAGTTACACAGGGCGTTCTTGTAGGCTGCTTCATGTAGACCCTCAATCACACCTTGAACAAAAGGGTTTTATTATGAACTCCACCTCTGTGCCATCGCTGAGTATTAAACTGGTTCAAGAGTGGTGACAAAAGGCTGTTGTTTTATTGCCCTTTTTGTTTTTGTTTCCAGGGGAAATTAACAAAGCCCACCTATCTGTTGACTCTGATTGGCATGTGCCTTGTCCAGCTTCACTCTTGGCGCCAGGTCTGACACCTCCCACGGACGGAACTCTGGAGCTGTCGTCACGTTGATCAAGAATTCCATGACTGTGTCGCTGCAGAGTGAGAATTAAAGCAGAGGGGAGAGGAAAATTGCTTGAGGTGAGGAGGCTGAGCGTGCGTCCTGCATACTGAAATTAAATGCCAGCCCTTGTTCAAACTCCATGGAGGGCGGACACACTCACATATCATCTCTCAAGCAGTCGACGGTGTACATCATGTTCTCTCTGGATGACGTGACGCTGCACAGAAATATACACAATGATCAGAATGCTGGGGCTGTTTGAACAGCATTTTTCTTCCAGCAGAAACGTTTTGGGGTGAGACTACTGACCTCAGACTACCACCAACTGACTCAACACCACGACAGATCTTGAACGAGGACGCTCCTTTGGTTGTCTGAGGAGACAGAAATGAGCATGTGAGCTCTGATCAGTCACTCTCCTACTAAAATTCGAGTTCCTGGTTAAATGGGTGGATAAATGATTGTATGAATTTTCTCTGGAGCTGACACGGACAATACTGAGAACAACTGAAGGTTCTTCTGAGGCGTCGTACCAAATTGGAGGCCAGCCTGAGGAGGTGAGAGACCCCCTGGTTCTCAGGAGTCTCATTGCGACAACCGGCCTTGACGAAGACGCCAATTTTGGAGGCTGGTGAATAATTCTCCAGCGAGGCGATCACCAATCCACTGGGCAGCTTGGTTACCTAGAGAGAGGAAAGTGAGTAGCTTATATTTGATGGAAAAGGTTAAGCAGCACGTTTCTTTGTTATTAAAAAAAAACACCAAAAAAAGGATTATTCGTCCAATTATGGACAATAAAGTTTTTTTTACAAAAATGTTCGACCCCCGGCACAGCCACTGCTGATACCGAACCTACGTGGACATCTTGGTAGGAGTGTGCCCCAGGAGAGAGCTTGAGGCCAGCCAGCGGCTGGTCAAGAGACTGGCCTTTTCTGGCAGCTGCATAGAACCGTCTCTGTGGAGGAGAAAGAAAAGTCAACCACCACTGACCTGCGCGTCCTGAGGCTGAAACTCAGTGACTTCCACCTTATGGGCAGCCTGGGCTGCGTACAACCTCCTCTGGAAAAACAGAACATAGGAAGGCAGGGCATTACAACTAATGTGTTGCTCGCTCGTCAGCTGATGCAACACAGATTAGAGGGCCCCAACACTTTGAGCCAGTGATCACACACGTTTCCAAAGTGTGCGCAGCGTCTCCTGAAGACCACTGCAAGACGAGACTGAGCCCACCTCGTATATCGAAACCTTTTAAAACGAAATGGTTCACTTTGCTGGAAACGATCTAACGGATTAGTTTGACATGTTTTGACTTTTAATTGTCAGGCACACATAAATAAGGTTGACCAAGAGGATACATACTCGAGTAAGGAATACTGAACAAAGCAGCTCCCTGCACAACTAAATCTGAAAGCACCGTGTGCCTGTCTCGTGTCCCACAACAATAACAGCACCCAGCCGGGATGGGACGTCACCCTAAACATTCAAGATGTAGCAGAACAGTCAAGAAACATGCTACTGGAAAAATGACCAGCAATAATTTTTGTTGGTTAATGTACCAGTCGGTTTGTATCAGTGCTGCAGGCGAGTCCAAGTGTTCTGTGTATGCAACAGCTAATATGCTATTCCATAAATGTTGACAACTTGTCTGTGCAGCACTGGTGACTGAAGTGATGTATGGGTATAACTGGAAGATTTGCTGATCAACTTTCACAGTTTAATATGAGCTTTAACGCAGACTTTGACTTCTAACAAAGCTCAGATAGCAATTAACACTGGGCTTGCCCTTTAAATGTAATTGGAAATATTGTGGTTAGGTTTGCCCCTTTATCTTATCATGAAACTCAAAAGGTCACTATTATTTTTACAGAAATACAACAACTACTAACAAAATCACATAAGAGAAGGTGGAGATACCCCGTAAAGACGTTGGTTATCTGTCTGGTACCGGTAAACTGAATCTACTCTAGCTACACAGGAAGCTAACGGCTAGCTGTCAGTTCTTACAAATGTCATGTGGATTCCCGAGTTAAGTGAGTGTAAGTCTTCAACGACTCGATATGAATGGGTATTCGTAATGTAATGTCATTAGATTTTTCGACTCAGATTAAGCGTCGTGACAAGCCTTAGCTTAACGCTTCCTCGTCTGCTCCCCATCACAGCCTCACCGGACACGACCCTTCCTTCTATTTTTAAGTCTCACCCAAAAACTAGCCCAAACAGACAAGCCTTGAGTTCGTTTGAGTACGTGTGGTTCCGTCACACGAATGTACAGCGTACATGAAGGAAATTCTCACCGATAGTTGACTTATTCCCCGAATCCCCTTCATCTCTCCTCTCTCCTTCAACCAGGACGGTGAACCAATATGGCTGACGCGAAAATGCCCTACCCAGAATGCACCGCGAGTTCTTCGCTGTCACCGTAAAGAAGACACGGGGTCGAGCGCGCGCCCCCTCTTGACTGTAAATTAAAGGACATTCCAACCGATGCTAACTCTACTGTGTTCATCTGTTTCTTTATCATTGGCAATTTCTTTGTCGTCAGTTTTGTTTTTGCGAGTATATATTTAGTCCTTTCTTTAGGATTTCATGAAATTACAGAAATCAGGAATAAATCGAAGTTCCATTGTGTTGTCCCTGAGTACAAAGACACGTTTCTCACTAAGTTTTTCTTTTGTATACCTTAAATATTTCTCTTATATTTATTGACGGTGCGTAAGTTTTTTTTTTATATATCTAATCACATCCATTCAAAGTGGCAGAGGAAGAAAAGCGTTTCCTGTTGAGTTCATGTACTCAACGCGCATGCGCCACATCACAACCAAACACGTGTTGTGAACGTTTGAAATCGCTGCATGCAATTCGGCTTCCTGAGATCGTAGAGCAACAAAATACGAGTTAAAGGACCATATCAAGCATTTTGTTTGGCCCCTTACAGCTAAGTGAAACAAAATAGTCCTCCGTGAAGCTTTTCGCCGAGAGGGCCGGAAACAAAAGCCACAATGGTGAGTTTTGCAGCCGGTGAACTAACAAGTTAGCATGCTAGCCAACTACTAGCAAGCATTGCAAACTTACCAGATCGCTAATCTTACACTTGGGCGCGTATGCGTCTATTTGCCTTTGAATGGTCTTTTATGTCCGGCATATTTTTGAGTTACTGTTATTTGTGTTGCAGACTGAACCCGATGTTAACCCAAAGGCCTACCCACTGGCCGACGCCACTCTGACCAAAACCATCCTGGACCTGGTCCAGCAAGCTTCCAACTACAAGCAGCTGAGGAAGGGGGCTAATGAAGGTGAGGAAACTTTACTTGAGTAATTCCACCACAGTGGACTGACCCTCGGGTAGGTCACTGTGTCGCACAGCTGTAATACCAAATCTGTATTTAAGGATCAACTGCGATTAATTAGATATGCAGGTTCAAAACGTGGTCTCACAATGATGGCCATGAAAATTAGTGGAAGTTTAGGGTTTTCCCACTGCTTTATGTGAAAGAAATCAATGAAAGATGATTGTACATTTTTGAAACGCCAAAGTTGATGAGTATCCCCTTCTGTTCCACACATTTCAGTCAAACTGTAATTACTGCTTATTTCAGCATCTCAGAAAAGTGTCTTAGTTTAGCTGGGCAGCATCTGTAGCTGTGACCAATAAGATCTCTGTTTGTTTAGATGACACAGGTTCTTTACCGTGCTCTTCTTCCTCAGCAACCAAGACCCTGAACCGAGGCATTGCAGAGTTCATCGTCATGGCTGCAGATGCCGAGCCACTGGAGATCATCCTCCACCTGCCGCTGCTCTGCGAGGACAAGAACGTCCCGTACGTGTTTGTGCGCTCCAAGCAGGCGCTGGGCCGGGCCTGTGGAGTGTCGCGCCCCGTCATCGCTACCTCGGTTACAATAAAGGAGGGATCCCAGCTAAAGCCGCAGATCCAGTCTGTTCAGATGGCCATCGAGAGACTGCTGGTGTGACTTCTGTTGCTATTTTGTGACAAAATTTAAAGAGCGGGGTAGACAGATCTTGGATTTTGTCTTTAGACTTGATTTAAACAATGTTATGCATGGCAAAATTCATAGTTTTTTTCCTTCTTTCTTTTTAAGTATATTGGTTCATTGTCTGTCTGTCATTATGCAGAGCCAATACTTGTTTCTTAATAAACTCTTTTTTTTAATTAAAACCATGCATTTGTCAAAGTGAAGGCACTGGAATTTTCCGTAGTCATTTTGCAATAAATTGAGGGAAGCAGTTGATCAGACACTTTTCAGTTTTGCTGTTACATTGTTTTAACATTGTTTCTTTGATAAAGTGAACAAAAGAGGTTTCTTTTCCCCTGATATTCTTTGACAACCAACAGACATTTGTTCTGCAATCTTAATGACATCCACAACTACCTAAAAAGAAATGTGTGACTTTGCTGAGTTTTAACTACACCTGTTGCACAAAGAGAAAAAATAGAAAAAGGGTAAGTTGACATTATGACATTTGTGTGTCTCAGCCAAGACATGGGACACTCATCCTCTACATCTGACCTCATTTTTTAAAAAGGGACAGTACAGTTATGACATATAAAGCTTCTATCTGTAAACATCAATCAGATAACTGTAAGTCATGTTGTTTCAAAATGTTACTTTTTAGTGTCAATTCAACCCGAAGGTACAAAACTCGTTTCCAGTGGCAATATATGCACTCAGGAAAATCCGATTTTTCCCATTTCCCCTTAACCTACCGCTATAGCGGCTCTTGAATGCCACTCGAATTCCTCTGCGCTGCCAAGAGGACAGCGGCTCGGACTTTGCACCAAACACACAAGTTGACTGGTCTGACTCTCGGAAACGATGGCCGAGCCACCAGTTATTATTTGGGAGCACGAGGTGGGACGTCTGCTGCGTTACAAAGACCTGGTCCCCCGTCTGGAGGAGGCTCTGGGGAAGTTCTCCAGACGGGACAGCGCAGAGGTGCTGCAGCCCGTGCGCACCGCCGTGCCCCTGCAGAAACACCACGGGTAGGCCTCCGCTCCCCCCCCGAAAAGCAGCTCACCCCGCAGCAACACACGCTCATTGGGTGGCGCGCTGTCCCTTTCCAGCTTCATGGGGCTGATGCCCACCTACATGGAGAACGATGGAGTTTTGTCCACAAAGTTTGTGTGTTTCTACAAGAGGGACGAGGGTTCAGCTCTGCCAGCTGTCCAGGCCACGGTGGTGCTGCTGGACCCAGAGTATGGAAATGTCAAGGCTGTGAGTTACGCTGGTCCATGTTCAGATGACTTAAGTCCGCTAATAGAGGAAAGCACTGCTTTCCAGCCACTGCGCTAAAGCAAAATCCGTTTTTTATTACGGTAATCAGACATACCGCCAAGGAGACACTTTATTTTTCTGTGCGCTCAAACATGAGGGATTACGGTATTCCCGTTTTTAAGAGCGGAGTAAAAGAAAGCCTGATTTCCGCAGGATGATATACACCTTTTTGTGTGTTTAAATTAGACTATCCCCTACATATGACGTAAACATTTCTTATATGAGAATAAGGATGAGACGAAGAGTTTTTTCCAAATGTTTTTTGGTCAAATTCTAACCTAATTTACATATCTGTTCCCCTGGTTCCACCGGCAAACATCATGAATGTTCACCCTTATGAATGAAGGGTGAACCCTTGAAATCTACCCAGATCTGATGTTGGATATCAAAAGTATAAATACAGTAAACTTTTTTACCTGCATTTTCCTTTGTCATTTTAAATAGAAGACTCCTGGTTTCCGCAATCAAATTCCACTACGCGTTGACCTCCTCAAAGAGACCAAAAGTATCAGCCCAGTCTAGAGCAGTATTTCCCATTCAAAACAATATCAGCAGTACTATTTGCATTTTCAGCCGTGAAAATGTGAAATATTCTTACTGAAAGCGGTGACTAACCATGTAAACGTGAGGGGGGGCTGGACCATGGCTGCTCCGGCTGGCCTCACTCTGAGCCGCCACAGCATATTTTCAACCTGCAGGTCATGGATGGAGAGGTCATCACCGCCATGAGGACCGCTGCTGTTTCAGCCATCTCTGCCAAGGTATGTCTCCTGTTAGCTTTTTTTTTTTTTTTCAAACATCTTGTCCATTTTTATCTTAAACCAACTTTGAATTTCGGCCCGTCTTTGTGCACACAGCTGCTGATGCCTTTTGGGGCCGAGGTTCTGGCCATCCTGGGGACCGGCAAACAGGCCATAAGTCACTATAATGTCTTCACTGAAATGTTTTCATTTAAAGAGGTACATGACAAAAAAAATACATGTATATAAATATGGTTATTCTATCAAGAAAATATAGTCTCATCAATTAGTTCCAGAAATGGAAAACATTTTTACTCAGATTTTCCATTCACAAGTTATTTTTAGGCCATTGCTCCCCCCCACAGACGTACTATCGTCATGATTGTGGTTTGGTTTCAGCTTCATGCCACTCCATCAGTTAACCGATTAGTCATAATAATTAGTAAAAACTCCCAAATCATATATTCCACTCCCATTTGTTTTGGGGTTCATGGTCCTCACCGTGTAGGCTTTTTTTACCTGTCCCACTCACCCAGGTGCGGGTGTGGGGCCGCACAAAGCAGGGGGTGGAGAGGTTCCTCCACTCGGTGGGAGGAGCCGCCCGGGGGTGCGGCTCGGCGGAGGAGGCGGTCAGGGGGGCGGACGTGGTCATCACGGTGACCGGCTCCACCCAGCCGGTGCTCTGTGGCCGCTGGGTGAAGGCGGGGGCCCACATGGCAGGTGAGAGGAAACCACCGACCCGTACTCTGACTTACCGTTGGTGAGCTGGACATTCCTTTGTCCACTCTTGCTGGTGGAAGCGGTGGGAGCGTGCAGGCCGGACTGGCGGGAGCTGGACGACGCGCTGATGAGGGAGGCGGTGGTCTACACCGACAGCAGGGAGGGGGCCAGGACCGAGTCCGGAGACGTCCTCCTGTCCGGGGTGGGTCTCTGTGCTGTGAATGACCTGACTCCTCCTGCTGACCGCTCAGAGTAGGTGTGAGGGTGTGTGTGTGCCGCAGGCCGAGGTGTTTGCAGAGCTCGGAGACGTCATCAACGGGACGAAAGCCGCCCACAGGGACAAGACGACCGTCTTCAAATCCCTCGGTAACTTCCCACATTCGGCATGGAGTCTGTTCTGTAGGCTCACTGCATTAAAGTGCTTTGACTTGTTCTGTTTACGACGGCAGGGATGGGGGTGGAAGATGCAGTGTCTGCCAAATTGGTTTTTGACCAATGGAAGGCTCAAGCCAGAAAACCGTGAGGAAGCCTTGCCGTCAACCTCTGACGTCTCCATTTTTTTTTTTTTACATCACACACAAGTGATAAAGATATATTTCAGGCTGAGAAGATTACATTTGCCAAGAACTATCATAAAACTTGATAAACCACCCCAAAAAACTGTGTGTCTCAAGTTGAAGTGATACGTTACATAAAGACAAACCATAAACAGCCACACGCAATTCTAGTCTAAATTTACCTGGAAGCCTAAGAACAGACGAGTTGGTTTTGAATAGTCAAATATTAAATAATGCCTAAAGATGCCAAACCGGTTCAAGCATCACACCTGAAATGCATTTTACACGGTCGGATACGATTCATTGTTAACAGGCTCTGGGATAAAGAAAATATTGACAAGAAAGCATTAACCAGTCATGGTAATTTGGTAAATTCTTACTTAGCAGGAAAATATAAAGCACCACAGAAAGATTTGGAAACGCATTTATTTGCTTAAAAAAAACAATCTTATTACTATATGAAATTAAACCGTATTTAGTAAGAAAGGAAATTAAAGTGTACACTTCCTTTGTGCCCCGAAACACTGATAAAATAATGACTCCAGATTTAGTGGTTTCTCCAGGCATGTTTTCAAGTTGATCAATGCTCCTGTGGGGTTAAAGTACATCGGTGGAGCTCTTACCGATGAGCTTCATGTCGTACAACTGAGTGTAAAGATAAGATCCGACCTTCAGATATTACCCCTCCGCCTCACAGACTTCATAAACACACAGTGATCTTCATAGAAAAGGCCAGAACATTTTCTGAGCAGGAATTTGGTGAAAACTACAATGCTGGCTGCACGGCACCTTCATGTGTCAGTCAGAAAATACTGGTGCGTTCCAGGGACTTAATGATGCATCAATTAGAAAATGTTTAGGAATAAAGTAATTAGCTAATAAATATATAGCAGGAATGGCTCTACATCCGGCTCACTATATGCCAGTGATTACAGTCTCAACTCCTGCTATAACTTCTTTTAGTCCCTTAGAGCGTTAAGCTGGTTATTTATGACTGCATGCTGACGTCTTACAGGTTAAAACAATCACAAAGGGAGGAGAAACAACCTTTTAGTGTCATCGGACACGTGTAAACAACAGGGTCCATCTATCTATCACAACTGACTAAAACAGGAAATGTAAAAAAAAAAAAAAGATTTTTTGTCTTCAATAAAAAATTTTGATCCAAGTAAAATCTTGCAAAGGCAGCAGGAATCTGTTAGTGTTTAGGGGAAAGAGTGCAGTGCAAGACTTTTTATAGCTAAAATCTTTAGTGGCTTCATGATGAATTCACGCATTTCTTCAACGTATTGCAAGAAATGCGACAATATTGTTTGCACGTAAAAATCCCTCAGCTTCTTCTTCAATTAACCCCAGATAACCAATCACAAGTCCCACCCTCACACTCCCCAAGGCCTTCACAAAACTTGTGTCATTTTACACAGTCTGAAAGGACCAAACAGATGTGAGTAACCAGAACACATCTGGATACAATAACAATTAAAAAAAAAAAACTGTTTAAATCTGTAAAGCCCTTTCAGATGTGGATTTGATCTAACAGCTTCTATTTGAGCAATGACACAGGGTGAAAAGATAACTGTGGGAAACCAGCCATGGTCTTCTTCCCTCCAAGCGGGCGAGTTCAGACTGTACCCAGATTTTCGCCTCATCGTGGATCTCCATTACAGCAATGTGCACTTCCTTCTCCTCTTCTTGACGGGCGGAGGGCAAAGCACCGCCCTGATGGCTTCGTCAAACACCGTTTTAAGGCCACGCTGAGTCAGAGCCGAGCACTCCAGGTATTTCACTGAACCTGGTCAGGATGAAAGGAGCCAGGTTAGCACACCGGAGGGGTCAAGCCTCTTCCATCCAAACTACACACAGTATAAAAAGGCTCCAAAGCAAATATGGATTTGTGTACGGATGTATGTATGTGTATGGATTAACAACTAAAAACGGATAAATCTCCAGCAAAAGTCTCTTTAAATTGTGAGATAATGCAATCCAGCAATATTCTCCTGCACCCTTATTCCAGCTCCTGTTTCTATTACACTTGACTTAAAGTGGGCCACGTGTAGGACTGCAGCATTCAGGGCCCCTAGCTCTAAACAATTACCACACTAGTTAGACCACTAAAAGGCTGGCAGTGTCTGCGCCCTGGATTTAAAGGAGGCCGTTAGAGAATAATCGATAGCATCAAGAAAAAAAGAGAGAGCTGAAACTAACTTATTTCTTTAGCCATGGCCAGGCCCTGAGGGTAGATGATTGGAGCCAGTTTCTTCTCCTTTAGCTTTTCGATGGTGTCCTTGTCGTCTCTCAGGTCCAGCTTGGTGCCCACCAGGATTATGGGGGTGTTTGGACAGTGGTGTCTCACCTCAGGGTACCACTGCAAGAGAGGGAGAGAGACTGAGTCCTGCAGAGTGGACGCCTTCAGGGCCGTGTTGCCTTCGTGGCTGCATCCAGCAGAAAAACAGATGGCTCACGTGCCCCCGGCGTTCTAAATTGGACTCTGCTTGAAGTATGCATTTTGAGTCTTAGAGGTTTTAACATAAACACAAATAAACAAGTTTGTAATAGTGGCAGGCACAAATACAGCAGCTTCTCTTCTCACCTTGGCTCGGACGTTTTCAAATGAAGCTGGGCTGACGAGTGAAAAGCAAATGAGGAACACATCCTGAGAGGAGAAATGAGAAAAAAAACGTGTCATTAAGAACTTTACACCAACATTGCCAACGCATCGTAAAAATAATCAAGCTGACTATTCGCAGAAATACCCCACAGATTCAACAATCCAGACAAATCTAGATGGGTCCTGCTGGTCAAATACAAAGTGACTCTTGCTTTCGGCTCTCTGAGTCTCTGGCACAGAGACCAGATTGTTCTGAAGACAAAGAGGGCAAACAAGAGCTGCTTTTCACTTCCTTCATTCCTCCTCCAGACAGTGTATAGGTACTGTGGATACACGGCTCTAGCTGCTGAGAGCCACACTGTGTTCCGAGCACTGGAGCCCAGAGAACAGCGCCGAGTCAATGCTGGCCACCACTGTGCGCTTGCCCACATACCGTCTGTGGGTAGGAGAGTGGCCTGAGCCTGTCGTAGTCCTCCTGTCCTGCTGTGTCCCACAGACCCAGGTTCACCGGTTTCCCATCCACCATCACATTGGCAGAGTAGTTGTCAAAGCTGAAGGTTTGAAAAAAAAAAAAACGGGGGGGAAAAAAAACACAAGCAAATTAGTTGTTCGTCTTACACAACATACAGTGAAACTTTCAGTCCGACAGAGCTTTTGTTTTGGATTTCTTTGGTTTGCCTCCCTGGATTCGTGGGGTGCGACTTACACGGTGGGTATGTACTCTCCAGGGAAGGCGTTGGTGGTGTAGCTGATCAGCAGGCATGTTTTACCCACAGCCCTGGAAGAGGAGGAAGAGGAGGGAATGAAGACAACGAAGACTTTGGCTTGATTTACACTTCTTCCTGCTGTGGCACAGCCACGACACATCCTCGGGATAAATTGCAAATCGTATATCTGAGGACATTTTATTGTCTGTATAGTAGGCGTCGCCCATTGTACCTGAACATGTCAAGCCAAACCGGTTTAAGAGATGTGTGACCTTAGCATTGGTGCAAACATTTATCGATTTATTTTAAGGATCAGCCTAGTAGATCATAGTTTGAAAGCTCCAAGGTATATTTAGCTGATCCCATAATTACTAATTACAGGTGAACGGTCATGACATCCACTGGAAAATGTACCAGGGTGTTCCAGATAATCATCTTTCCAATCCTGCTTGAATTCAGGCTTCTTTTTACTGGGGATTAACAGCAGTGACCACTTTTCCCCAAGAAGATCAAGTTGAGATACTTCCATTTAAGTTTGACATTACGATCCTGGGCATTGTGGCACATTTGGATTTGAGATCAAACTGACATGTGTCTTACATACTTGTATACATTATTCATTTGCAAACAATTGGGGACAGCCATGCACTCATGGGTGGGATAAGTTGATAAAGGAGACACTATCTGATTTGTATACAAAATAAAAAGAAGTGTCTGTGTTTTTCCATTAATTAACATGAATAATCCACACGGGCACCAGATTTATGTTAGAAAGTCGCAATCATTCTTTCAATGTAACTCTTTTAGATGATTAGATTCCAAACAGGACTGGAAAAACTAAATTCATTAGATACTAAAGAGTTTGAATTTAGGTCTTTTTGATGAGGTATTACTTATTTCGAGGCCTCAAAGGACACTACACAATTAACAAGTCGTGTCAAGGCGTAAAAGTCTTTGTGGTTTGTGAGTCTCAGGCTCTTCTTCCAATGTTTTCATACAACTACACGAAAGATTTTCTCGTCTGGGTCATTTCTATTAAATGACAAGCTTTGACCCTTTTAGGTTCAACGAACTAGAGCATGTGGATAAATCTGTGACCCAGCTGGACCGACAGCAGGCACAACAGCAGCTGTCGTTCTGCTGGCATGCTCCCCGAGCCTCGTTAGCCGCTAGCCAACTGTTGCTATTTGGGTCAAACTAAATAGCCATGTTAGGTTTAAGCCGCGACAAAAAAAAAGGGGCAAAACTGGGAAATGACACGAGTTAAAGTAACACTCAACACGAACTGTAACTTACCCGTCCCCCACCACCACACACTTAATGGCCTGCATCGGACGGCTCGGTGTCGGTTAGCTCGACAAGCTAACGGCGGCTAAAGTACGGCAGTCCTGCGGGGAAGGCTGAAAAGTTCGGCGGACACTGAGCAGGACAAGCCCGGACTTCGGCCCCAAAAACTTCCAAAAGTCACCGCAGGGTTTCGTCCCAGTCGCCCCACTTCCTCGCCGGCTGCAACACCCCGGTGAAACTCCAAAAGTTGTGAACCACGGAGGCAACACCCAGAAAAAACTAAGCCGGAGCCAAGATTGGAGGTGGGGGTGTTAAGAAAAAACGCCCACAGTCTGAGATCCTTGAGGATTCACATCCGGTCAGATCAAAGTGGACCAAACCCGACATCTGCTGGTTATTAGAACCACGTCTCATCCTTTCGAATTAGTTGTACTTTCACGTGTATCCATAAAAGTAGAATTCACTGCTAAATATCTGCTTGTTTGTTTTTTTCCAGACGGCATTAGTTTCAGGTGTATGCAGATACGCAATCAGTCCTGTCCCTCCTTTGTGTAGCAATACCCTCTAAACACGCAATAGGGAAAATAAGAATAGTTAATCAATCTTAATATTTAGTTTATCAAACATAGTAAAAATATATATATGAAGAATTCATTGATTCAAAAGTACTACCACTGTATAAGTATTGCTGATTCCCAGATGCACGTAACATGGAGGAGGCCATACCAAATTTATTTTTTCTTTAGAAATGTTTAAAGAAAAAACTGACAAGTAGAGATGGTAAGGGACAACAGCTAGGTATAGCAGTTGTCCTGGTAGAGGCTAAAACTAATAGGCATGTGATAATAACATTTTATTTTATTTTATTTTATAGTGGAATAAACGTGACAGAGATCTCTGCTGTGGAATAAAGTGGTACCTCCCAAAGTCTTGTGGTTTCTTTTCTCATCTCTATTTATGTCATTTCACCGGCAATTTATTCCCAACTCCATACTATTTACAGGCAAAACACACACCCACATAATCAAATGCAAGCTTAAACACTTCATGATCACCTTGTAGGAACTTATAAAAATAGCAAAAAAATTACATTAAGTTGCAGAGCTTCCAAGGTTGACATTTATGTTGATGACTGAAAAACTGGACGGTACATAGGTTTAATGTCACATGCACTAAATACATTTTTTCCCACTTCATTTAGCACAGTGCAATATTGCATCAAAACACTTGAGAGCAGTATTGTACATGTTTAAGTTTTATGGGGACCAGAAATGGTGTCAAATCTTTGAGTAAAGTAGAATTTCCCTGGCAAGCAGATGCTGCTTCTAGATTCGTTCTTTATTTTTTATGCACCATGTCAAACTAACAGTTAGATACTTGAACTCAGCTCTTTAATAGATGCATTTTTAAGGTAAACAACACATTAGCTTAATAAAAATCAGCATTCTTGCTGTTGGCCATATATCTCATTTCAATCTAGAAACCTGACATTGCTATTGACTTCTTGAAAAGCCCTTGGCAACAAAGTGGAATAATGCTATAGGCTTTGTCACTGACAAACCATTCCTTTCATGCTCTGCAGGCACAGTTTCTTCCCTCCCTTCCCATGCATTTCATTAGGAGCCAAAGCACTGATGTGTGATAGGGAAAAATCACTAAATCAATTCAAAGATCACAGTGAAGCCAGAACCTATTTGTACAGTTAATGTCTTGATTTCAGTATGAGCGTCTGATTTGTCATACTGGAAGTCTTTCAGAAGCTCTGAACAAGAGCCTCAGTCACATGAAGAAAGGATTTTATTTTTCAAACCAACCCTCTTGATAATCAAACTCAGTTTGAGACTCTTTGCTGTGCAAACACTTCACCATCATTCCTCATGTATCTCCCTATCAAACTGCAATTCAGAGACGCATTTTATGGGATCATTACGTTCACCCATTAGTCCTCCAATGAGCACTGAGACATAATGACCCCCTTCATGGCTCTCTCATTTGCATTGGAGTCAGACTGACAGGCAGCAGGCAGTCATCACTTAAGAGCCTGAATGTGCTTTGTAATGGTGACACAACAGGATACGCGGCAAGCCTGCAATCAAATCATTTGGTGACATTCAACATTTCTAATGGAGCGAAAGCTAAATGAGCACAAGCAGCTGATGGTTGAACCCTGCTGAGGCTTTGGCATTTGTGCTGCTGCTATCTTCCAACACGATCTATGCATGTCTGGATGCTGCCGTGACAGTTGATAAGCAGCATTGCTGCGAAACGATTCAGATTATCGAACGGTGATAGAGAGCGCAATCATTTATCTGTAAGAGTGAGCGTGATCGCATGCATGCACATGTGGTGTTTTAAACTGAAAATGGACACACATAACTCTGACTTTTTGCATCAAAAGACCTTGACGGTTTTGCTGCTTTTGAAGTAAAACTCATCTGCTTGCAGCCAGATTAGCACATGTGACAGATATGGACAGAAATACTCCCAATATTCTGATAAGAAATCGGCAAAGCATGGCAAATTCATTTAAACACTCCTACAACAGTTGTAAATTCCCTCTTATTCTTTGAAAGCCGCCCAAAGCTGCTTCCCCGAGGGCTTCCTTAAACGTCTTGTTGTGACAGCAGGATTTACTTTGTGTTTGCTTCCCGCCTGGTTTAAGGCTGTGCTTTGCAACTTGTATATTACTCAGAAACAGCAGATGGGAATATCCCTAAAAATAAGCAGCACAGCTCCAGAAGTCATCTGGCCTATAAAAAGGCTTTAGGAACTAGATCAAAGGGGACTTCTACTCATTTACTCTCCTCTATCAATAGAAATGTGGGTTTCTGTTGATATTCTAGTTATTTTTGATAGAATGATATGTGTGGGTCAGTAACGTGGCGGTCGGGAGGACATGATAGGAAGTTTCCAGCCTGTGGGTCAAGGAACAGCAGCATTGACTTGCTTTTGCTCTCAGCTGGAACGGTGTCCCACATGTTTCCTCCGTTCTCCCTCTCTCTCCATGTGGATGTTTCTCTTTCTCCGGCCTTTCCTCGGATATTCTCCAACACCGCCCGCTTCCCTCTTTCAACCACTGTGAGGCAGGAAGTGTGTCACATTACTTGTGTGTGTTTGCAATAGCAGGAATGAGTGGGGGACTTTTCCCAAGATGCAGACATTCCTCAGATGCTCACCGGGCTCAAACACAATTTATGTGACCCATCCAGCCCAGTTTAGACTAATAAAGGATGGTTATTGCATCTTATCATGTTTTCACAACAAGCCTTTCTTTTGATGCACAGGGATTTCAAGTGATAGAAGGAATAAAAAGAGATGATACACCAGACATTCCACAAGAATACTGCTTCCAGCTCAAAAACAAAATTGTAATTTTAAATCCAACAAGAATAACAAAGCGCTCAGTAGACATTCAATGATCAGCATATATTCGTCCGAGAAATGATGTCAGATGCACAGAGCTTTATCGCCCAGCCTCATTATAACAGTATGGGTCATGAGGCAGACTGCGTGATGAGGGCAGCCAATGGTAGGCCATTTAAGTACTGAGGGAAACAAAAGTCCAGGGAAGAAAATTTGGGCTGAGTCTCTTTTGGACTGCAAATAAAAGTTGAACTGCCGTACTAATGAGGCAACAAACAAAAATTTTCTGCACGGATGTGCGAGTGCCTGGAATACGACATGCTTCCAGTGAACTGTGCAGGGAGCTCTTTCATGTGAAGGCTTTTCTTTCTTCCTGGCATGATGATAGACTTAAGACAACTTTATGGGTCAAAAGTTAACCATATTAAATCTCAGCCATACAATGACCGGCCGTTAGTGTCTTTTAAAAATACAAAAGCGGTCTTTTTTGGTCTATTGACGGTGAGCCAATCTCAATCTGAAACACAAGAGATGCAAGTTTGAGACACCAGCAGTTCAATGTTTCATTTATTTGAGAGAATTGCTCTTTTTTTTTACCCCACCATTCTGTTTCCACTGATTAAAAAAAAATGGAAATGCGTATCTTCCTGGACTTGTACGCACATTGAACACATGTTTCCCAAAAGTCGCAGCCTTCCCTGGGCTGAAATATAACCCCAGTTTGAAGAGAAAAGCAGCCAGGAACAATCTGACAGAGACGAATGATCATGACAGTTAAGATGTCCCTTTTTAGGTTAACTTTCCTGTCTGTTTCTCTCTTCTTTTAAAACTTACATGAAACCAACTATGGTGTGCTCCTGCAGGCCGGCCTCTGAGGAGAATGGAGGAGGAATTTACTGAAACGTGCTGCAATGCAGTGCATGTGTTTACGCCCGGAGCTTTTGAGGGAAAAACAAGGCAGACCATTAATTTTCTATTTTAGGATATTTCATTTGAGGCTGTGTTCCGTTACCAGTTCAAAGACAATTAAAGAGAAATGGGGAAAATCAGGACTAGGCTCTTTCTATCAAGTCTCAAATTGAAAGATATACAAGGTGGTCTGCGTACAATTCCTGGATTTGTGAAACAAAATGTTTACTGTCTGGAAGTAATCGTGAGCTTGTGACTCCTTCCAGTTAGAGCTAGGTGTCTCCCCGTATATGAAACAATAGATGCACGAATTAGTTACGTCATACCGGCCCAACTGTCAGCAGGGGGACTTCTGAAGAGGGAGAAACGCACTTGAGATTTGGCACAAAGGAAAACTTGGGGATTTGAGAAGTGTGTAAATTTTTACTCAGCTTCATTTCTGTGAGGCAAAAAGAAGTCGAACTGAAACAAACTCTGTGTAATGTAATAAGATGACAACATCCACCTGTGTATCTTTCGATATCCTATTCAGAATCATGGTTGGTTTTGCCAGTCTACTGAAGGACTAACACAAAGGAAACTCATGCCCACTCTCAGTTAACTCAAATTCAACAAATAATCTGAAATGCATGTTTTTGGATGTCCAGAGAACCCACACATGAACAGCAAGGTCTGCAATAGGCAAACAGAAAGTCAGAGAAGATCAAACCAAGGTTCTTCTCACCATGATGGAATTGTCCCAGAGCCACTTTAAAAGTGCACCTTGTGCTCATGATTGGTCCTTAAGTGTGGAATCCAGAGAATAACACACAGATAGGGTTGCCTTTTTCCTAAAAAAAATAATAAATTAAATAAAAGACTACCATTCGTACACTGAAGCTCTGGACTCAAGTCTATTCAAAAGTCTACATTTCTGCACACATCTGAATGAAAACTGAGCTATGACTTAGAATAAACTAAATGAGAGGAATAGATGCAGAAAACATTGGTGTGTATGTACGTTTTCAAATGACCTCAGAGAGGAAATGAGGCCTGGCCATGACCCTGACCCCCACGGTCTGTAGTGATGTCACTGACTTGAGGTGATTGTGCCTGTTTAAACTCAGCTACTTATCCTTTTGGGATTTTAAAGCTCCCCCATCTGGCCCAAATAACACATGCTATGTCTCAGGTTTGGCCCAGTTAAATGGAAGTGCCACTACGGAGCCAAAAATGCCCAAAAAGGGCATTCTGAATAAATATGAGGTTTAGAGTACATGGAGAATGGACAAGTCTCTACAGTGATAAACATAGTCATAGAATACCACTGAAAGTATTCTCAGTGGATGACTTACGGAGAAGTGATTAAACCCCTCTTGGTGCCAGAAGTTAGATTTCATAGTATTGCGAGGGCGGAGGAGAACTGGCCCGTCTCATTGTTTCCTGTTCGGTAACTTTCTTCCATTGTACCCCCGCTGTGCTGCACAATGTGTCCTTAGCACAACTCCCTTCCTGGACTCGGGGCCGTGTGCTGAGTCTTGCCTTGGGGCTCCTCCCTGCAGCGGGACAGATGCTGGTGTGAGCAGGATCTTTGCTGGCATGGGAGGGGACGGACAGGAAGCTGGAAGCCTTTGGCTGAGAGTCCTCAAAGGTGTCGTCACTAATAAGAGAACAGATACGTGAGGTCAGCCACCAGAAGGGACATTTATTCATGTACATCCAAAGGAAAGTTTTCAAGGGCCAGTGGTTTTAAAACGTTGTATAATTTAAAACAAAAAGATAAATTTCTCTACACAAACTGGTGATTTCAAATAAAAACTTGCATTTATTTGAATTCAGGCTTCACAAAATCAAGCAAACAGGATAAAAGTGAATGACGTAAAATTGGACATTTATATTCAGAAAATGAGTCACACAATGAATTGTGTTTAATGAATGAAAGTAAAATACAATAGTCTGCTTTTACTCTGGAACTCTGGAACTGAGATAGCACAGTAAAAAAAACAGAGCTTTTGTCATTCTTTTGATGAGTTTTAATTGACTCACTGAACTCTAAATGTTCAATTGAGATTGTAACGTTATCAGAAGAAATACTGGTTGCCTTTTGTACAGGTCAGATAGTTATGTCCTTTATTCTATTAGTTCTCTTTCAAAACCCGTGATTGTTGTGTCCCATTTGGATGTTCATGTTGTGCTCCATGCTTTAATTCCCTCTGAATACAATTTTTTCCTCCTCGGAACCAAGGAAAAGCACAAAAATGTAAAATCATTGGAGTACATATGTAGTTTAGCCGTTTTCTTTCAAACCTTGAGAGATTATTGATAGGGTTTGAAGTGACTGAAGGGGAATGGAGTCTGACCAAACTTTTTGGAACATCTTGAAAGTTGACATTTTTGATGAACCTCCATTCCAGAGTGAAAACATGCTGCAGAAATACTCTTGTTTGCTCCTGTTTGGAACATAAGGTTATCTGAGCTCTAAAGATCTGCTTTCTTTCACCCTCCACTTATACAGTATGAAGGCAAGGAGAGAAGACAACCTACGTGCCTTTGAGTTTGGAACACAGTTAGGAAAACATCATATTTGAATCATTTATTTACATTTGACAGGTCATCTTTTCACAAACTAATTCTAATGTATTTTTTCTGATCACTCTATTAAGTACTAGTAAAAATCAATATATCAACTTGAGAATGATTTAAGATCTGAGTTCAAGTCCGCTCTGAGATTTTCTGTTTTTAATTGGCATAAAATCATTCAGCTCATTCTAAAATAAATAAATAAATCCGAGAAACATTTCTGGATCAACCAATAAAGAAAATGCTCCTTATTTGCAGTGTTTCAGTCGACAGTTTTTCCTCAAACTGAGCTCAGCCAACAGCACGGAGCTTCACCAACTGGAAGGGTCTGTGCGTCCGACTCTTAAACCCAGCATCATCTTCTGCCATTCTTTTTATTGGGTTTGCATTTAAAGCCTTTGTGTGCCTGCATGTGAGCGGTGTAAGTGTGTGTGTGTGTGTGTGTGTGTGTGTGTGTGTGGGTGGGGGGGTTGTGTCGGGGGCGGGGCTTTGTGACGCCTCCTCCCCCGGCCGCGGCGTGGCTAATGCGCGCTCAGGCTGGGCAGCTGAGGATGGAGCACAGGGACGTGTCACATCTCATCTCCGAGACACCCTCTCTGCTGGCGAGGATCTGCCTTTAACGGACTCCCCGGCTGCTGCCTGTCCCCCTTCTTCTCGTGCCCATCACGCCGCGGACGTCTGAGCGCCTGAACGCATCTGGCCGTGAACGCACCGCCGGCTGCGCCTGTTTGTGCCAGTGAAAAGGAAAAGAAGATCCCGTTCCATAACACACACGCACACACACACTCAGAGAAATTCATTTTTTTACACCTTCTGGACTGTTAGCTGCCCCTCACGGTCGACATGGAGGAAGACAATCATGGTAAGGGTGTTTTTTTTGTTTTTTTGTTGTTGCTCTCAGCCCGGAATGGATGGATGAATGGATGGATCCATGTGAGTCAGCGTGCACGGATGCGAGAGGACGTTGTGTGTGTGTGTTTGTGTTGTTTTTTTTGTGCTTTTGTTTTCTCTCACAGTGGTTTTACACATACATAACCGGCACAAACACAACAGCGAGCTGTCATTAAACCTGATTAAGGAAACAGACGTTTCCCAGAGGTGGGGAGGGGGGAGGAGGGGGGGGGGGTGCGAAAGGTCTGCTGGTTTTCATGAGCTCAGTTTCTGCGGATGAGAGGCTTCCTCTGTACTGGCACATGTTCAGAAAACGCCAAAGTCATGAAAAAAAGCAAAGGAAAAAAATGCATGCACGTACCTTTGTCTTGGTGGAGGGCTTTGAACTGTCTCACTATCTAACGGCACCGCGTAAGGCCTGTAAACTGGGGGAAATTGATAAGATATCTGACTGGCAGTCAGATATCACAGGGATGATACACTGGCGGGATCTAGTACCCCAGACGAAACTGTATAAACAAGGATAAAACGAAGTTATTTGTTTAGTCTGTAGGTAATCCATCCTTTCCAAGTGTTTTTGTATGAACTCGATATAGGGGCTTGAGATTATTTGCTGGAACTGAATACAGAGATTTTTCTCAAAATTCAGACAAAACAGGGACCAGATGCAGGTTTGAAAATCTGGAATGTGTTTTTAAGAGAGTTAATTTGTGGCATTTGAATTCAATGAAAAGCATTTCCCTCTTTTTAAAAAATCAAAGTAAACCTCAGTCAAAAAATTGGTGCCTTAAGCCATTAAGAGATTCACAGTGAATTATTAAACCAACGTCAGAGACTTTACTTTTGAGGAAACAGTGGACACTGAGTACTATAAGCTGAAGAGCAGAGGAACCGTGCTGTTTGTTATCAGCACATATTTAGAAAGCCAGCATCCGTGATGGCATAGGGGTAAGTGCTTATGGATAGACTGGTTTTTGAGCAACATACTGGTGCGTTGCTTGAAAATGAATGGCCCGGTGAGATAAACAGCTGAATATTTATTCAGGAATACGTTTATCAAGATGGTAATCTTTCTTAAAAAGAAAACTGCGGTTGGCCCCTTCATTGTTCAAATTCTTTTGAATGGTAAAAGATACAAAAAATGTCTTGTTTGAAATATTTTAATCTAAGATGTACATCTACATTGTACATCTTACTTCTGTCTATTCAGATTGAAATATTCTAAAAATAACTGCCTTCCTTTCTTTAAAAATAATTCACATTTGATTTAAAATGGTCTAAGATCCCTTTAAAGACATTGTTGAAACCAAAACCAGTTGTTTCACAGATGCACGGGATAAACAAAATTATGTTCTATGGAGATCCCAGATGATACAGTGACCCTTTGCCTACTCAATATGGGGGATGGGGGGGTTGCTGGACAGCCTGCAACCTGTGCAGCTGCATGTAACCCGGATCAGCGCTCGCATGGCGGCAGTTATTACACCATGTTGTAAAAGTACACACATGCAGTGTGTTTCTGAGCTGATAATCCAAACCGTTTTCAGGCTGAGGGGTGTGAGGGCAGTGTGGTGTAAACAAACTGCTACGGTCCTGTAGCAGTTGGTCAGTTCAACTGAGAGATTAGGAGTGTCAAGAGGGACCTGTGTTAACTTCCCCTTTCAGAGAAATACCCTTACATGCGCCCCCTCAATATAGATGGAAGTTAAAGTGCTCCTGCTGTTGGACGATTGTGACTTCCTCCATGTTTTTTGGGGATTTGTCACCATTCCCATTTTAACCCACCTCAAGGCTTTCTTTTCAGCACTTCTTCTAGTTCCAGTCAGACACATGGGACATGTAGTCGAATCTGATTAGCTCAGGATACTTTGAAAAGGCAGCATCACATGTGCTATCGAAGCAGGCCAGATAACGGTCAGTCGCTCATGTGGCAGGAAGTCGGAGAGCACAGAGGCACGCTGTCTCTGCAGAGTCAGTTAGCATAACTTACCGTAAATGTTCAAACAAACGAGGAGCTCTCAGCCGCTCGCTCACACTCTCCCCGCTTCCCGCCGACTCTCACGCCCCACTTAACATCGTTCGCATCACACTTTGATATGCAGGCACCACACCGCAGACCCTTGTTTCTAAAATTGGTCTCTGCCACACTCTTAAAGTTGCTGAAAGTTTAATTAAGAAAAGCTTGTCAAGCCAGAAACTCTTAGGGGCGGTTAACTGCGTGCAATCAAGAGCTGCTTTAATCTCTTTTGACTCCATAGCTGAATGTAGATTGAAAAAAAAAGAGCCACTTCATTCATTCAAAGTGCCTTAGCTTTGACGGGTTAGTTTGACACTTCGACATATCAGACTGCAGGCAAAACTAACTTGCCTGAAAATGTATATCAAATGAACATCACATGATAGCGTGTTATGGTAATATGGCGAAATTCAGAATGTAAGGGATCATCTGCTGGGTTCAACCTTAAGGTCTTCAGGGCTTGTAATTGATTATCCATATTGAATAAACCGCGCATTGCTCTCGTCAGGGAGGCTGTCAGGCGCTTTGGAATCGGGGAGGGGCACAGAGTGGCCTACAAAGACTCAACAGGATGCAGACTTCGCATGGAAACCATCACGTGTTCAGAAATATCACTGATTAGCTAAATTTGAAAAGAAACCACTTTTGCTTGTCCAGTTTCCTTTTGAAAACTTGCCATGTCTTCAGTTCTAAACCAATGCAAATGGAGATTTTATAACACCTGATCCTGCAGGCCTTTTGTGGGGATACCCCCCCCCCCCCCCACCCACACACATACTCATCAGTCTGGTTTCCAGATATTGCATGATATTTGTGTGATGGACCACTATGCTGGCAGATGTAACACCGGGATTATAAATGTTCACTTACATCTTTTGTATGTACGTTTTTTTTTGCACTAATCACCATATAAAGGCCAGCTGTGGCTCAGATGGTGGGACAAGGTAGTCGCTATTCACTAAATTAGCAGTGAAATCTCCAGATTTGCTGGTGAGACACTGTGTGTGTTTACATGGATGGTGGCGGTCTGAGTATAAGATTACTTTGTACAAGCTGCCAAATAAACTGCCTTTTCTGACCAACTTTAGTTAAGATGATAATCAGGACAAACGATAATCGAAGTAAGCCACGTGCAGCATAAGCCGATCTGAGTCATATGTTGTTTGCATGTTTGAGTCTAATGTTGTAATGTTTTGATTCTTGGGGGATTTAGATTTAATTAAGACTTTGCATCAGTGCCAATATTTTGTATGTGGATAAAATGTGGGCCTGTTTTATTAATCAGAATGAGCTTCTTTACATGTAAATACAAATGTGGACGGGATATCCTATCTGTATTTCCGGTAAACATCCTATTTGGAATGTTGACTCAGTGAGAATAAAGGCAAAAGTAACTATGTTGCTTCACCTATAAACAGTTACAGTTACAGGCCAGCCACCCACTTATCTGCTTGTCTTTGGGTGGGTGGATGAATTGAACCTACCTAAGACTTAGATTTGGTTGTGATTTGCTACAAAGGGACAATACTGGTACTGGTAATAGGAATAATATTGGTGACGCAGCGTTGCTGGAACGAGTGGGCAACAAAAAAACGCTACATGTGGAGCCTGTTTGTTTTTCCGCGCACTTTCCTCCGAACGTGAATAAAACTAGAAATTGTTCCACTGTGGAATGTTTGTGGGACTCGGCTGTGGCGTGGGATTCATTAATTCATGTTTACTGCATTCACTAATCAGAGTTGGCGCTTCCCCGCTCAGTGTGCATGCCACAGAGCAGACAGGGCCGGGCTGCAAAATGGATGAAATCAGCAACAGGCTTGAAAGTGTTCTTTTTTTTTATTATTACTAATGTGCCTATTTTTAGAAAACATTGTATAGCTGGATGGAGAAGTGGAAAGAACACAGCAGAGCAGTGGAAATGGCCTGGGAAGCAGCACTCTGGATAGCTGTTGAAGCAATAGAGTTAAACAGTTTGCCCTCTTGTTTTGTTTCCTCCCTCACAGCTGCCGTCAAGTTCTGATATGATGCTTTATTCTTGGGTTAGAGATATTTATCGAATGGTGTTCATCTTTTAGGAATTTCTACCTTTAAAGCTTTGTAGGCGTCGCTCTGGATGTGTTTGTGGGGAGAAAATGTGCTAATATGTTTGTGTTTGGCGCACCGCTGGGCTTTCCTGACTATGTATCCTGTTTAAGGGTCAATCAGCGCTCTTCTTTCCATCTGACCGTGGGAAAAGTTGGGATGAGAAAGGCTTTTCCTTCAATTCTCCTGCTTTCTTTGGACTGGGCATGCGAGTGAGTGCTGGAATAACAGTTCATATCTGACGGCGGCGTTACTGTTTTGTCTTATGGGCCTGTTAATGGTGCTTGGGTGGTGGTCTGTTAAGGATCTCGGAGAACACAGCCATCTTTCATGATAAACATTTTCTTGGAATTAATTGATTTATTAATTTGGAATGAATCAATATATATGTTTATATGTAGATAGCCATATGTACATGTGATCTGTACATGGAGTTGTAGGGGGGATAAGTTTAAAAGCAGAGAAAGTTGTTGGCTGTGGTGTGTGGGAGTACTTTAGGTTGTTACTGGCGTCTAACTGGATGATTTTTCTGTGGGAGGCTGGAGAATAGCTTGTCAGTGGCCAAACAAAGCTCAGACATCTGCTTGTTCCCACATCTGTGCCGGAGGTGTGCCTCATGTCTAATCGGCTCATGAAGAGTCTGCCTCTGAGTTTGCAAGATCTGCCTATTAATGATTAATGTTGAATCAATAAATTGAGTAGAAATGGTCAATGCAGCAGTTATGATAATTGGAAGCCAGTGAGCCTGTTTAGGAACCAAAAGAGATAATATAAATCTATAAATATTCTTGCTGACTTTCTCTTTTCTTGTTTCTTTGGAGTCTCCGACAGGAGAAAAGTGAGCTGAAAAGCATCTAAATTTGGGATACTGA